GGGCTCTGTCTCCCGTGTTATCTGGTGGCTTTCATGTAGATGGTGCATGTATATATCACAGGAAGACTCTACTATATGAGGTTTCTATATGACCCTCCAAACGGCCCTTAGCATCAGCTGTCCCTTGAATTTTCCTTCCCTTGCTCTCCTCTTCTCTGTCTGATCCTCCCAATTCAGCCCTATCTCCCCAGTCCATCCATAGCTATTCAATTTCTCCATCCTAGGGCGATCCACCCTTCCCCACCTCCCGGTCCCTTATTCTCTACTGACCTCTGTGGTTATATGGTTTGTAGCTTGCTTATTAATGACCTAAAAGCTAACATTCACATGTAAGCAGATACATACTGTATTTGTTTTTCTGGATCTGAGTACATAACTCAGGGTGAGTTTTTTTCCCTAGTTACATCCATTTACCTGTAAACCTCATGATTTCATTATTTTAATGGCTGAGTAGTGTTCCATTGTGTAAATGTACCACATATTCTTTATCCATTCATCCACTGACAGACATCTAGGTTGTTTCCAATTTCTGGCTATTTTGAATAGAACATGGCTGAACATGAATGAGCATAGTTGAGCAAATGTCTCTGTAGTAGGATGAAGCATCCTTTGGGTATATACCCAAGAGTGGTACAGCTAAATCTGTTGAGTTTCTTTCCATTTAAGTTAATGTTGGCATGGCTTTGGTGTAAATTGCCTTTATTATGTTAAGGTGTGTTCCTAGTATCCATAATCTCTCCAGGACTTTTATCATGAAGGGGTGTTGGATTTTGTGGAAGGTTTTTATCTTTCAGTCTGTTTATATAATGGACTACATTTATCGATTTACATATGTTGAACCATCCCTGCATCTCTAGGGATGAAACTTACTTGAGCACGGTGGATGATCATTTTGATGTGTTCTTGGGTTAGGTTTGCAAGTATTTTATTGAATATTTTTGTCTATGTTCATAAGGGAAATTTATCTACAATTCTTTCTTTGTTTGGTCTTTGTGTGGTCTGGGTATTAGGGTAACTGTGGCCTTGTGAAACGAACAAACTGGGCAATGTTCCTTCTGTTTCTATTTTGTGGAGTAATTGGAGGAGTATTGGCATGAACTCTTCTTTGCAAATCTGATAGATTTCTGCTCCAAAACCACCTGGCCCTGGGAGATTGTTTTGTTTTGGTTTTGGTTGGGAGACTTTGAATTATTGTTTGTTTTTCACTAGGAGTATAGGTCTGTTTAAATTGTTTCCTGGTATTTATTTAACTTTGGTGATATATATTGAGAAAATTATCCATTTCTTTTAGATTTTTCCAGTTTGCTGGCATACAGCTTTTAACAGTTTGTGCTGTTATCATTCTCTAGATTTCCTCAGTAGCTGTTTTTGTTTGTTTGTTTGTTTGTTTGTTTGTTTGTTTGTTTGTTGAGACAGGGTTTCTCTGTGTAGTTTTGGTGCCTGTGCTGGAACTCACTCTGTAGCCCAGGCTGGCCTCGAACTCACAGAGATCCACCTGGCTCTGCCTCTCGAGTGCTAGGATTAAAGGCGTGCGTCACCACTGCCCAGCTCTCAGTAGCTGTTTTTATTGTTGTTGTTTATTTTATTTTAATTGGCTGGAGAGACATCCGTGGGTGCTGGGAACCGAACTCTCATATTTTTGGTTGTGAGCCTAGTCTTTAACGGCTGAGCCATCTCTCCAGCCTGAGTAGCTGTTTTTATGCCCCCCTTTTCATCTCTAATTTTGTTAATTTGGATCTTCTCTCTCCATCCTTTAGTTCATTTGACTAAGAGTTTGTCAATGTTATTGATTTTCTCAAAGAACCAACTCTTTGTTTCATTGATTCTTGGTGTTGTTTTGCTTGTTTCTAGTTTATTTATTTCAGCACTGAGTTTAATTATTTCTTGCCATCTACTCCTTTGGGGGTATGGTTTCTTCTTTTTGTTCTAGATGAACTAGTATGAACTTTCTCCAATTTTTTTATGTAGGCACTTAGAACTTGCCTCCTAGACCTATCTTCATGGGGTCTCGTAAGCTTGGGTATGCTGTTTTCATTTTCATTTCCAGAAGAATTGCAATAGCCCCTTGGTGAATTTTTCCTTAGAGGAGTATGTGTCCTTCCTTACCTGTTCTGATTAGTTTCGGTTTGAACTCTATTTTGTCAGACTTACACCCACTTGCTTCTTAGGTCCAGTTGCTTGGGATATCGTTTTCCATCATTTTCCCTGATGTGATGTCTATCCTTGATATTAAAGTGTGTTTCTTGGATGCAGCAAAAGGATGCATTCTGTTTTTGAATGGGTTCTGGGAGTTTGTGTCTTTTTATTGGAGAACTGATACCATTGATGTTGAGAGTTAGCAATGAGCAATGTGGACTGATTCCCATCATTTTGCTACTGTGGTGTGGATTTCTCCCTTCTTCTTTTCATTTGCTGGTCTGATATTATTTATTCCTTGTGTTTTCCCGGGTATGGTTGGTCTCTTCAGATTGAAGTTTTCCTTCTCGTGCCTTCTGTAGGGCTGAATTTGTAGGTTGATACTTCTTAAATTTGGTTTTATTGTGGAATGTCTTTCTTTTCCCATCTGTTGTTACCGAATATTTTTCTGGATATGGTAGTCTGGGCTGGTGGCATCTGTGGTCTCTTAGAGTCTGTAGCACATCTGTCCATGCCCTTCTGGCTTTAGAGTCTCCATTGAGAAATCAGGTATTCTCAGATGGAGTCAGCACACAGGTGGGAGGTGGGAAAAGCTTGTTTCTGGAATCCCACAAGGTATAGCCTAGAAAGCCTTGTCAGCCTATGGCTCTTGAGACGTGGCTCACTTACTTCCAGCCAATCCTAGGATCCTGTGGGCTGTGAGACACTGTCCACCCTGTATTCTGAACTCAATGCACGCGCACACACACACACACACACACACACAGAGAGAGAGAGAGAGAGAGAGAGAGAGAGAGAGAGAGAGAGAGAGAGAGCAAGAGGCTCCATCTGGAGCATGTGTGGAGTGCTGCTGGGCATGCACTCACATACCCAAAGCTCCCTTACAGTCTTTGCTAGTGAGTGGGACTCTGTCTTAGTTACTGCTGTATTGCTGTGAAAAGACATCTTAACCAAGGCAACTTACCAAAGCATTTAATTGGAGGCTTGCTTACAGTTGCAGAGGATTAATCCATGACCATCACGGTGAAGGGCATGGCAGCAGGCAGGCATGGTGCAGTAGCTGAGAGCTTCCATCTTACCTGCATCTCGGAGGCAGAGATTTCGAGACTGGGCTGGGCATGGTCACCTCCTCCAACAACCCCTCACCTCCCAAACTTTCCTAAACAGTTCACCAGTGGGGACCAAGCATTCAAGCACAGGAGTCTCTGGGGGCCATTCTCGTTCAAACTGCCCTGAATTACACGTTTTCCACCCCTCCACGATTCACTCATTGACTTTAGTATTGTAGGTTTTGTTTTGAGATTTAGTGAGCAAACATTAACACATGAAGGAGCCACCCTCGCTACCATTTATTTTACAGAGGACGTCGCCCATACTCAGACCTGTATTGGCCGTCTTTGCTGGTTGTCCCCCCCCCCCTTTTTTTTTTTTTTTTTTGATTTTTCGAGACAGGGTTTCTCTGTGTAGTTTTAGTGCCTGTCCTGGAACTCACTCTCTAGCCCAGGCTGGCCTTGAGCTCACAGAGATCCGCCTGCCTCTGCCTCCCAGGTGCTGGGATTAAAGGCATGTGCCACCACCGCCCCGATTGCCTGCTGATGTCTTGACCCTTCGGAGGACACTTGGGCGCTTTCCAGTTCTCTGCTATTCAACACATCACGGAACCAAGGTAGACATGGTGTGCTGTCTGCGCGGGTGGTTTTTCTGTCCGGGGACTGCCAGGCCCGTGAGCGGGTCTGTTTGCTGGCATGCAATGCACACCTCCACTTGCCTGGGATCTGGAGTCCGCAGCCAGCAGGGTTTCCTCCAGAAGCCCAACCCGAGCAGAATCCTCCTATGGGATTCCCAAGGATGGTCTAGTTTGAGGGCTTCCCACGGCTAGTTGTGGGTGCGAGATTTCCCAGGCCTGGAGAGTTTCCTAGAGTCTGGACAGCTCTCCTCCATGCTTGTCCCAGCTTCACTCCCTTAGGTCTGGTGAGTCCCTGACCATCCCCCGCCACCACGCGGCATGGGGGCTTCCCCTAAATTGGTGAGATTCCCCCTCTCACCAACTCCAGTGTCTGCAGTCGCATGGAATGCCTGCGCCTCCTTAGAGTCAGGCGTCCCCTCCGCATCCCAACCTACTATGCTTTCCTAGTCTGGGTGCCCTTAACAGAACTGGGCAGTGAATGTCCTCAGGCTCCTCAGCGAGGTCCCCTGAAAGCCTCCGGGGCTCCCTGGGGCCGGGATCCCTCCGCCCCAGTCCGGTCAGCCAGTCTCTAAACTGCCGCAGCCAGTCTCATCCTTCAGCGCTGTGAACTCCAGGACAGCCCCTTGCCAGCGCGTCTGCCCACGACCGAGGCTCACTTCCTACTCCCATTTAAAAGTTAGCCAAGCGCCGCACACCTCCCAACGCTTGGAAGGTGGAGGCAGAAACTCAGAAACTCAAGGCCGTCCACAGCCACCCAACCTGGGCCAACCTGGGATATAGGAAACCCTGTCTCGATTAATCCCACACACTCAGCCAGCCCACTCACCCAAACACCAACAGAATAGTGGCCAAATTGGCAAATCCCTAGCCTCAGTCTGGCTGGTTTTCTTTTTCTTGTAGTAGTTGTGTGTTGGTGATAACGCCAGTGAGAACAAGAACCCCAGCCGTTTCCCAGCAACAAGCAGTTTTTTTGTTTGTTTGTTTGTTTGTTTTTCATAGAGTGCATTTAAATGAGCTTTTGTAAAGAGCCGTGGGGTGGGATGGGGTGGGATGGGGTGGGGTGGGGCTTGTACCCTTTCTGGAGCTGGACCACCCAAGCTCCTGGTGACCTCAGGAGAAAGCCCTGTGGTATCTGCACGGGGAGATTGAGGAGGGTGGGGGGTGGGGATGGGGCGCAGAACAGTGTGCACGGGCACGCGCATGCTTGCAAATTATTACCGTAGGCTCCTTCCGCTCAGCTGCTCCGGGCTAAGAGTGTCCCTGAGAACCCAGCATCCGGAACGAGGCCGGGAACACAGTAGGTGCCTAATAACGTGTTTCCTAAGATCACGAGTGTGTAAACGCTATACAAAAGTGAGTTCACCACAGCCTCTCTCTCCCTTGCTCCCCCTTACCAGGACAACGTTAGCTAGCAAACCCATCGTGTTGGGTGATGGACAGAGGGACACGAGCGAAGGTCCGCGGGTCCCTAAGGGGCAGGGACCTCTGGGGTTCTGGAAGGAGAACACAGCTAAATCAAACGCCAGGCTCTGAGCATGCGCACTGGGCATTTCCAGCGGAGTCTTCAGAACCAGGCCGGAAGCAGCGCCTAGGTGCCTCGTTAGCGCAGTAGGTAGCGCGTCAGTCTCATAATCTGAAGGTCGTGAGTTCGATCCTCACACGGGGCACAATACTTTTGGTGCCCTTTTACCAGGTGACAAGCGGTGGCAGAACAGAGTGCCTTGCATTGGCCCGCCGTGGCTGGTACGTTCTAGGTGGCCCTGCCCCTGCCCCTGTCCTGACCTTGCCCTTATGAACTGGCGATCGCTGGGGACCAGGACGGCCCGGGGTTGGGAGGGTGAACTGCTGAGGGTGTACAGAGATGGGTACTGCGAGCCGTGCGGGGCTCGCAGCGCGGAGCCGGGTGGGGACCCGCCAGGCGAGAGGACTCCAGGGGCCTCGGCCACTCCTGCAGGCAGCCGGCTGCCGGGCCACCTACAGGTCGTGCCGCTCGTTAGGTGGGCATGTGTCGGGAGTAACCCACCCCACCTTCCAAACTGCAACCCTGCCCGGGATAACTGCGGCAGGGAGGACTCTTCCCGGAGTAACAGCCCTTCCTCCGTGGGTCGTGGGGGCAGTGTGGGGAGTCTGTCCTTTCCCGGGGTGTCGTTTTTAGTTCAGTGGCCGATCCAGGTACTCGGAAGACAGGCACAGGTTGCTTTTCTGGCTCTCTCCGCTTCCCCGGAAGACCCCCTGGATCGCCACCCAGCCCCAGCTTTAGTGGTCGGCAGGTAAGTCAGCTCGTAGTCTAGGAATCCCTGACAGCTTGGGGTTTTCTTTTCCTTCTTTTCATTCCATAAAGAGTCCTGGGGGGGAGTGGGGGTGGCTCAGAGAACACTTAGCACGGGTCTACAGCAAGTCCTTCCTTAGGAAGACTCTGCCTCCCCTTCAGTCAAGAGGTTTGGGGCTGGGATACGGGAATTAGGGTAAGTGGAAACTGAGCCTCAGGTCCCCTGTGTGACTCAAGTGGGGCTCTGGGCCATTGGTCTGGAGTCTTCCTCTGACACACACCAAGCTGCATTTCGAAGTCTGCCTGTCTGCTTGGTTCTTAGAGACACACAGTCAACAGCCAAAGAGCCCCGACTATTACTGGCTTGCTGCACCTTGCTGACTTGGGGGATTGAAAAGCTCACTGGGTCCCTGCTACCACAGACTACGACTCTAGGTGGTGGCATTTCTTATGGTCACTGGTGGCCAGCAGAGCCACCACGGAGTTTCTCAGCTTTGCGGATGATTTCGCCATTGGATGCCTTACTGAATGAAGGCCGTCTTTTGGGCTCAGAGCCTGGAGTTGGGTGGTGTGTGGGGTCATGTCGTTGAAGATCGTTGTCCACACAGGGGATTTCTAAGATTTTTCCACTCATGATCCCTTCCCTTTTGGCTTGAGAAAATTTTTGCATGACCCTGGGTTTATAAGTATATAAATAATAAATAAGAATAAAATTTACTGAGAAGAAACTACAATTTTATTTTAGTTTTTTTTTTTAAGTTGAAAAATAACTTGATTGTGTTTGGGGGAGTTGAAAGATCATAAGAATGCTTTGAATGTCCACCATTTTCCTGGTAGACCGAGGGAGGTATTTTTATTTTAAAACTAGTTTTTAACACCAATTCTGTGTATACATATATAATTTAACCATTTATTAAAGATAAAAGCAAACTGGCATGCCGGTATGATGGAAGCACTTTTGAATTTTATACAGTGAATTAAATCCTGGCTGAGAATTTGATACTGTAATGTGTAGATTATCTTCAGCCTTCTTCAGAGTTGACTGATATTTTGTTGGGAAGCGGAGCGTGTGCCTGTCACCACGGCACTTGGCAGGTGGGGCCACGAAGATCAGTTCAAGGTCATTCTCAGACACACAGCAAGTTTGAGGCAAGCCTGGGCTGTCAAGTTCTGTCTCAAGAAAGCAGGAACACACCCAAGACACCTCACAAAGTTGACATTTTGATTTTATAATTATCAGTGTTGAGAACCCTGCTTTGCATAAATATGTAGTACAAAGTGGCCAAAGTATGTTCTGGTCCATTTCAGAAATTGCTGGAAACTCTGACTTAATCTCTAGCCAAAATTTGCTTAGTGGTTTTTTGTTTTTTAAAACTCAAACAGTAATTTTGACATTGCTGGGAAGATTCCAAACACTACCATTGAACCATATCTGCAGCCATTTTTCAAATCAAATATTTTAACTATGATACAATCTTAAAATACACCAATTTGATGCTTGCACGCTGAGGGATGATGGTAGGAATATATTAAAAGTTTGTTTCGCCGGGTGGTGGTGGCGGCGGCGGCAGCGGACACCTTTAATCCCAGCACTCGGGAGGCAGAGGCAGGCAGATCTTTGTGAGTTCGAGGCCAGCCTGGTCTACAGAGTGAGATCCAGGAAAGGCGCAAAGTTACACAGAGAAACCCTGTCTCGAAAAACAAAGAAACAAACAAACAAAAAGTTTGTTTCTGTAATTAAACCATTATTTTTCTACAAGAACAAAAAACTTACGTGCAGTTAAAAGCCTTGGAAGTTATAATATACAATAATCTTGAACCACAGCCCAGATGTTTTAAGCAGTGGTCATTGACAATAATGCACAGTGCAAAGTGTGCATGCGTGTTCAGAACGGAGGCTACAGTGATGCTGTGTGATGTCGCAATACGGATCAGCACCAGCAGCATCATGCACTGGATACAGTGATGCTGTGTGATGTCGCAATATGGATCAGCACCAGCATCATCGTGCACTTGATATTAGACTCATTTTTGCTTGCTCATGTTCAGAAACTTCTTCCTGTTGTCGAAGTTTCATGATCCCCTACATTCAGCGACAGGATTCCATATAGGGTCATGACCTACAGTTTAAGGAGTTAGGCTCTATATCAAGCCGGGCAAATGTTGGCATGTCAGTTTTACCAAATAGAGGCCAATATTGAGTCTACGTTGTCAACCATCCAAGAGAGCTTGAGCGGTACCGTTGTGTTTGGTGTTCCTGCCTACCCTGCTCTGCAGCGGTGCCCTGGAGGCCTCTGTGTTCTGTGAAGCTGCCATCTAGCTGTGTGCTTCTGCTTACTCTCGCTTCTGTCTCAGCAAAGTGTGTGTGTGTGCGTGCATGCATGCGTGCATGCGTGCGTGTGCGTGTGCGTGTGCGTGTGTGTGTGTGTGACAGAGACAGAGACGGATGGATGGAGATTCAGGGGCATCCTGGAGGAGAGTGCACCTGCCTCCTGACCGATGAGTACTTCTCTGCAGGCCCAACCCAGCATGGGCAGGTTCCAGGTCTCAGCTACCAGGTGCACTTAGCATAATCACCAGCTTTGGTTTGTCTGTGCATGAAGTTTGTTTCCCATGGTCCTCTGGTATGGCCATCCCACCCTGAATCTTTTTTTTTTTAAACATAAATCTTTATTGATTCTTTGGGATTTTCACACCATGCACCCCAATCCCACTCACCTCCCAGTCCCTCCATATCTGCCCGTCACCCCTGCAGCATGCTCCCCCAATTAATTAAAAACAAAACCAACCAACCAACCTACCTTGCTCCTCCATCTTTCCAGCACCTCTTCATTCATCCTAGCGGCATTGGGAGCTGCAGTATGTCACACAGTGTATACCCTTTTGTCCAATCAGGCCCATCTGCAAAATGTCCATTGCAATGAGTCATTGGCCTGGTTCAAGGTCTCTGGTACAACATCATCACTGGACCCTCACTGAAACTCCTCTCAGATACCCTGCTGTTGCTGAGTCATGGAGATCCTGTGCGTATCGTTCCACAGGACCAGTCCCTTTACACACTCTAGTAGGTCATAGATGGGGTAGATGTTAGGGTGGGCCAACCTAAGGCCCAGGATGTGGGTCTGCCCACCCTGAATCTTTGTGCATGCTCAGCTGTCAGTTTGGAACAGTGTGGATCCCTGACACTGTGACACTGTTTCTTTCCTGCTGCCTGGGGACAGAGACTAGCTCAGGAAGAAAGGTGACCCTTGTAAGTCTGTCCTTCTGGTATATTCTTCTTGGGCCTTTGGTATCCTTCAGTGTAGATGTAACCATCTTGTTAAATAAGAAACACAGAGCCAATGCAGAGATGAAAGCCCAAGAGGTCAGAATAATAGCTAAGCACTAAAAACCTTACCCTTCACTGCTGCTGCTGTCCTCCTCAGCAAGTGCGCTACTTCCTGTGTGTCTGTCTTTATATAGACTTTCTGTTCTGCCTTCTCATTGGTTGTAAACACAACCACATGACCTCCTTGTCACTGCCTGTCTGTACAGACCTCCAGGTCTTCTATGGTTGGTATTGAGATTAAAGGCTTGTGTCTCCATGCTGGCTGTATCCTGAACACACAGAGATCTGCCTAGCTCTGCCTCGAAAGTGCTGGGATTAAAGGCGTGCACCACCACCACCCAGCTCTGCTATGGCTTGCTATTAGCTCTGACCCCCAGGCAACTTTATTTATTAACATACAAATCACCTTTCAGTACAAATAAAATAATATTTTATTCACCATACTTCAGTGTTCTTCTCATCTATACTTGTTTCCCTCCGAGTTTGTGATGTCTTTTGGTACACTTGCCCTGCTTAGTTGTGTGGATTGGACCCAGACTGGTACAATGAGATTAAGGGTCAAATTCAGCATCTCTGCTAAGTGCACCCATGTTCATAAATCAAGCTATGCACAGTCCTTGTCCATGTCAACTGCTCCCGCAGTCACTGGGGGAAAGGCCTTTACCAAAATGCTCACATCTCGTTCAGTACCCGAGAGAAGTCTTGTGAATGAATGAATGAATGAATGGAAAGACAGGAAAAGGCCTCTGGTCAAGTAGCAACTGATTCAACACCCATCAGTTCACACCACAGGGGCCGCCTGGTAAAGCTCAGCTGCTAAAGTCCCAACGTGAGGGTCTGAGTTCAATCCCCAGAACCTACATAAAAAAAAAAAAAAGTCTGGTCATGGCATGCACAGTTGTATTTCCAGATGGAGAGGTGGAGGCAGGGGGATCTGTGGGTCACTGGCCAGCCAGCCTAGCCTATTTGCTAAGTTTCACTCTCGTGAGAGGCCCTGTCAGAAAACAAGGTGGATGGAACCTGGGAAATGATGCTCAGTGCTGTCCTCTGGTCTCCACGTGCACACACACACATGTACATATGTACATGTATGTATGTACAGCCCTGTGCTGTCCTCTGGTCTCCACGTGCACACACACATGTATATATGTACAGCCCCCCAATCATGTTGGAGTATAGCCAGATGTGGACTTAGCTGAAGCCCAATATTATACAGTTTGTGCCAAAGAGAATTCTTACAAACAGTAATTATGCAGAAGCCATTTCAGACACTCAAGAATGCACCTTAAAAACTCTTTGGTTGCAATCAGAATGTGAAACATTTTGGTCCAGTTCAATGTCTATTCAATTGCAGAGAATTTACATTATTATTTAAAGTCCAAAAAAAGTTAAGAAAACAAATGAAAAACTCTGGGTAAGACTCTGGACTTGGTGTTAAGAAGCAGGAAGAGATCATTGGAAATGTCTTTTATATATTTAACTAAATGTGATAAACTTTGAAATGCCAACTCAGAGCCTGTGGCTTCAGACTCTGCTAGGGTCTGAAGGCTGCTAAAGCCTCAAGATTACTGCAGGATTCAGAAAACACGATAATGCAACAGAAAACTGGCATGCCCAAACTACTCGGGCAAGAGAAGTCCTAAATGCCTTTTGCTACAAGGATGGAAACATTAAAACATGAGGTGTTACAATTCTATGTCCAAGGACACACACACAAAGATAAGTTGACTAGGTCTGAATTCTAGTCCAAAAGAACCTAAAAGGGATGGTCTGGCAGTTAAAACCCTTAATCTTGCAAAAGACCTGGGTTTGGTTGCCAGCACTTATGTGATGGCTCATGATCACCTGTGACTCCTGTTCCAGGGGACTCGATGCCTTCTGAGCTCTCGGCTCCTGCAGGTATGTAGTGCACACAAACTCACACAGGCACACACACACACACACACACACACACCTGACTGTGGCAGACAGACCCACGGCATTTTAGAACTTGAGTGCTTTTGGGTCAGCAGGCTCCTTCACTAAAGCGTCCGCCATGTTCTACATTCCACATCCTGTTTCTGTGGCAGACCACCACCACATGCCTCTACTGTAAGCACCGAAAAGGTGCAGTCTTAGGGAGTGCTCCTGGGAAACCACTGTTTGCACAAAGACAGGTGGTATTTGTGGACAAAGGAGATCATTTGCCAGATGCATTTGGTTTGCAGTAAGGTTACTCCTAGTGACCCCGGAAAACCGAGTCACAGCAGTGCACCACACAGTTACTCTATGTGTATGTAGTACTGCATCAGGAACTTCAGATACTTGTTGATGAATTCTCACACGGCCCTGGGGGGGGGGGGGGAGATGATGAAAGGGCGGCCTGGGAGGCCCGCTGCAGCGGTGACAGTGCAGTTCTGCCTACCGCCAGCAGAGGGCAGGAGAAGCTGGAGGAGCTGAGCCAGAGACAGTGCTGTGATGGGTGGGGTCACAGTGATGGGTGGGGTCACACAGAGGCCCCACAGGCCTCACAGTCCCGGAAGTGCAAAGCAGGAGGCAGCCAGGCAGCCAATCCCACAACTGCAGGGTTCTAGCCCGATCCTGTTTGCTGCTGGAGCAAACCCAGTTTTCCTGTTAGTTTGAAATTACATGTATTTTTTTACTTATGATGGGCACATGAGCGTGTGGTGGTCGGAGGACAACTTGGTTCTCTCCTTCCACCCGGCGTGGCCAGGGGTTTGAACTCGGGCCATCAGGCTTGGGACATGCGCCAGAACTCACTCTGCAGCCGCCCTGACCATGGAGCCCTGCTCTTTATTTAGTCTTTATCTTTGAAATCAACCCATCTCATCAGCTAAAGGCTCTGAAGTCTGTGCTGGCTTTGTAAACAAAGAAGACAACCCGGCTTTAACAGTTTCTAAACACCTTTATTGTGAAGTATTCCAGAGGCCCTTTACAGGCCCAAAGCATTATAATTCAATAGAAAACATAATTTTATAGACATCTTTCTCTATACAAAAGGATAACCTTTATAAAAATTTAGAATAAATAATTGAAAAATCAGTGCCATTGATTTACAAAAGATACCTCTCTGATTGTTTCAAGGTGAAATGCCTTCTATGTCACCAAAAGATGAGGGGACTGACAGCGGTTCCGAGCTTGGGCTGTGAGTCTCTGGCGAAGATTCCGCACTTTCTTGAGAAGATCATGTTCCATGTGGTTCCATTCTGTTGTTTTCCTACTTGAGAAAACTTGAATACGAAATTTACAGTTACTATCAGCTGAGTTTCCTGATGTACTAATATAGTATTTACCGTCAGTGGAATTACGTTATAAAAATCAATAACACAACCAATATCCTAAAAACATTTCTGGAACAAAAAGCCAGCAATAATACCCAGCTCTATGTGGTTTCGTTTCCCAGCTTTTCTGTTGTTGAACTGAATGAATGTCAGCAGAGAACTCAGAGCTTTTGGCTACTGAGCATGCGTCATATATGTAAATTAGGTACAAAGCTTGACTGGGAAGCTGAGCTCTTCAGGACAGCACACATCCTGCCATGATATGATGCTCAAGACTCCAAGACATGAGCTGAAATGCACCCCACAGCAACCTTCCCCAAAGCAGGCTGTTCCAGCAGTAGCTAACGGCAGGGGAGTCCAGACCGAGACTAATGTAACACCACGCAGCCTAAAATAGCGCTCCATCCTGATGGAGGGGCTGGGAACAACGGAATCAGAATCGAGGGAGCACCCTTTACATATTTAAATAGCTTCAGTGTCTGAAAATGATTTTCATCCCCCAAAGGAAGGCAGCTTTCATTTCGTGCCAAATAACCCGAGCTCAGCTGGCTCCCCCCCGCTACTCTGAAGTGCAGGTTATTCGGTCTAAGTCTAAACTCCAGCAGGGCTCTGTGTGTGTGTGTGTGTGTGTGTGTGGTCCTGGCTGCTCTGCCAGCCAGGGCTGCTCCAGCTGCTTGGGGAAGACAGTGAACCTCGTCCACAAAACAAAACATTCAGGTCCGAGAAAAAGAAAAGGTTTAATTCTGGGGTGTCAGGGTAGAGACCAGTTGTGAACCTCTTACATTACAGTGGCCTCCCACAGGATCCTTGGCTTACTTCTTACTCTGGTACAGAACTTCTGGATCCTCACAACAGGACTCAGCAAAAGTACTTCATGGGTACTGGAATTTCATGACTTGTCATTAGCAATAGTTCTGATAAAGCTCGTCTTCTAAGAGAGCTCAAAAGGCCTCAAAAAATCAAACTTTGCCTTCATCTATACCACAGCTTTATTGAAAAGCCAGTTAAAAGTCTACTAGACCAGGGGTGGTGGGGATGTGGCTGCGGCTGTGGCTGTGGCTGGGATGTTGGATCCAGGTTACACATCCAGTCAGTGTCGCCCTGGCTGTTCTGGGGCAGCAGTGCTGGGCTTAAGACATAGAGTCCCATGATCTCTGTCTGGGCTGCTCCTCACTCTGTCTTCCCAGCAGAGCTGTCCCGCTCTGGGCTTCCTGTTGTCAGTGCCCCGGACACACCCCATGCTCTACGCTGTGGAATGTAACATGGCAGTCTTCCTTATTTATCAACTTACTCTGTGTGGAGGAGTCCACTTCAGAAATGTCATCTAGTTGTGAGGTTGGGGGCAAACAGCTTGAGGCCATGTGTTCCCTTTGCAACCAGGGCACTTCCGCTTCCGCTAGAAAGGGGAGGAGAGGAAAAGATGTGTGAGAGTGAGCAGAGACCTTTCCTAAGACAGACAGTGCTTGGCAAACTCACTCGCAGGAGTGGCCGCCATCCCCGTCCTTTCTGGGAAGAACACGGCTGCGGAAACGCCAGCGGAAACGCGGCTGCAGACATGGAGAGCGGCACCGAAGCCCTGCTAATGGCTTCTAGGAACAGCTTAACTAAAACAAAAGGCAAGGAACAGCTAAGAAACAGGCACCGGGAGCTAAGAGCGCGGCTTGGCGGTAGAGCACTGGCCCAGCACGCGCAGGCTCCAGATTCCCTTCCTGGTAAGAGATGTCATGGTGGCGATCCCGAATACTAATAAAGAGATTATGGACTGTGTCAGCAAATGGTCCCCGAGAACGGCTGTGAGCATCAGCGACAGCAAACCTGATCGGAGCAGTGAGCGCAGCAGTAAACTCCAGGACAGTGCGGGTCATTAACTGCTCTCCTCACACAGGGCTGACGGAGGCTCGGCAGGTCAAGGCACTTGCTGCCAAGCCTCACCACCAGAGTCAATCCCCAGGACAATGCAGTGGAAGGAGAACCCTCATGGCCATACACACGCAGCCAGCATAAAACATCAACAAACCACGCTGGCCTTTCAGCTTTTCACCTCTGTCTGCTCTAACCCCCACTGCCCCACATCTGATAGCAAGGCCTTAGAATCTGTCTCACCTACGTCATCATCACCATCATCTGTTCTAACTCCCATCCAAGGTCTAGGCTTACAAGGACGGGGTCTCACCGACTCACTGCGATGCCCACCTCACACCTGATCTAGGGAGAGTTAAGTCAAGTGTTTGACCTCAAGGAGTCATTAAGACAAAGCAACTGCCAGGTTACTACGTTGAACTGGTGTGGCGGAATGGGATATAAAGGCCACTATCAAAATAGGGCTGTCTTATAACAGAGGCAGCTAGTATCTGCATTGCTCCAAGGAAAAACTTCTAGAAAGAAATCATTGGAAAAGCTTTACATAAGGGAGGAAAAGGGAGCCATGCAACAAGCCGGCCAGCTTCCAAACATCCCAGTGTAGGTGATGCCACCACTGCCATGCAGCAGAGCGCCACAGGCCAGGCTCTGGCTCCTCTCACTCACCCCTCCAGAGCTGAGATCTGCCTGCCCCAGAAGCCCATGCTGCCCACTGCCGTCTAGTTCGCCATCTCTAGAAGCTGTTCGGGGATGCTCTCCTGCTCAAACACGTACTGGCGTTCCTCTGCCTGCAGCAGGATCCCCAGCACTGGCTCAGCCGACTCACCTGTGAAGCTGAGTTAGCCACGCCACTTCAGCCCTACTCTGCTCACCAGCTACTGCACCAGTCACTGAGCCACAGCATCCCCACCAATGCGGTTCTGCACATATGAGCCACAGCATCCCCACCAATGCGGTTCTGCACATATGAGCCAGAGCTTCACAATGTGGTTCGATATATGTGGATTTAAAACAATCTGCAGTGTATTAAAAGATGCTCATCATAGGAAACCTGAACATTCAAGGAATAAAAATAAATACACTTTCTGGGTTGCAGTCTGCTGCTTTTCTTCCTTCAAAGCATGCTCTTTCTGGCTCCAGCGGTGGTTCATTTTTTTCATGTGTGGGTGCATGGGTATGTGGATGTGCAGGCACGTGCGTTCGTGTGTAAATGGAGGACAGGACACTGATGTCAGGAGTCTTCCTTCACTGCTCTCCACTTTCTATCACTCTCCACGCTGAGACAGTCTCACTGCAACCAGAAGTTGCCCAATACATGCAGTCAGCAGCTTGCTCCAGGGGTCCTCTGGCTCTGGCTCACTGGGATTGCAGGCGGTCTGCCATGCCCTCCTAACACTCACCGTGATGCTGGGGAATCTGAATTCCAGTCTTCATGGTGGCTCAGCAAACGCTCACTCACTGAGCCATCTACACAGCCCCTGACTCTTCATTTTCAAGAATTAATATTCATCTAATGAGTTGGTATCACCAGGTCTCTTGTTTCTCCTGACTCTGAGCACTGGCCTGGAGCTTGTACCATGTAGGAGGCTGTACCATGTAGCTGGCTGAGTAGCCTGGTGACAGGCCGGGGCCCCACTCCCCAGCCTAGCACAAGACACTCTACCATCCGTGGCTGTGTCCATCCCCCAGTGCATCTGTTCTGTAGTTGAGACTCCTGAAGTTGGCCACATGTTTTCCTGGCCCAAGACATGTACAGTCATCCATAGGCATGGACTATCTGCTGTAGCTACCTTAAAAGGACCACCAGGGTCAGCAACTGCCTACCATTGCTGAGTTATGCTCCTCACATTTTATGAGGAAGAATGGGTGATAAATCCACAAAAATTCTTAGAGAAAATGTTGTCAGTATATATGTATGTGCTTGTTTATCAAACAGGCCCAGAAACGACAGGTGGTTGGAAAAACAGTATAATATAATGCTAGAACTGTAATAAAATTCAACATTCCCAGACTAGAATCTTCTCATTTTACAAACAGGAAACTGGAGACTAGAAAACCGAAGGCACACAGCTCAGTGGCTGTGGCTCTACTCATCCCCATGAACTCAGCCAGGGTCCTAGGGCCCTGTCCTGCACTGGGTCCCCTGCACGCTCATCTGTCCCATGTCACCTTCTTTCTTCTAACCCTCCCTGTTCTTCCTCAACACCGAGTACTTTGAAACCTGGCCCCAGGGCCCTACCTGGCCACAGTATTTCTTCTCAGTGTCGTTTTATTGTTCACCATCACTTGGTAGGGGTCAGCACACAACCTCCAGGAGCGGCTCCTCTCCTACCATCAGTTCAGAGGATTAAACTCAGCTCATCAGGCTTGTTGACTCCCAGTGACTTCTATTTTTGAGGAGCTGTCTTATTAATATATAATTTATATCTCATATACTCCTGTTTATTTGAGACAGATTCTCATGTAGTGCAGGCTGGCCTTGAACTTCTGACCCTTCTGCCTCTACCTCCCAAGTGCTGGGGTTATAGTAATGTGCCACCCCACTCGGACAGTTCATCTTTTAAAGTGAATAGTCTGGTATAATATTTATACCATATAATAACTTATATTCACATTGTAATCATCCCCATCAGCCCTAATTTGAGAACCCTTCCATCGTCCCCGCGCATGTCCTTCAGCAGTCACTCCTCAGCCCTTCCTGGCTCCCTCTCGTCTACTCCTAGCTGTAGAGACCGGCCATCCTGACTGCTTCTATGGATGTGCTCTCAGAGTGGGCATGCAGCCTTTCATGTCTGGCTTCTTTAACTAGACACAAGGTTTTCAAGGTCAACCATTCTGAATCGCGAACATTCCTTTTGATAGCAGAATGAGATTTCACTCTATGGATATAATTGTTCTCTCTCCCCTAAAATCCACTACGTAGCTCAGACAGACCTGAAACTCACGACAGCCTCATCTTCCTCAGTGCTTGGGTTACAGGCACACGTCCAGCACCAAGCTTGACCACCAAGCTTGACCACGTGCTCTGACTGTGTACTGTAAGCGGGCAAACTGAACCCCAACGGAACCATGGACCAGTGAAGCTGCTGTTTCCAAAGGGATAATCTTCCACTTACCGACGGCAGAAAATGCAGTAAAAGGAAACTCCTATCTGCACTCTGCTTTAGACCGTTCCGTTATAATTCTCACCTAAAATTACATTTATCCTGTGCATGTGTGTATACCCGTGTGCTGCAGTCACGTGTGGAGGTCAGAGGTCAACAGTGGAGTGGGCTCTCTTCTTCTATCGTGTGGATCCCGGGACCCAGCTCAGGCTGTCAGCACAGCACCAGGTCTTCCCCGCTGAGTCATCTCACAGCCCAATCGAGTTTTGGTTTTTCAGTTGACACAGTTGCAAGCTTATCCTACAGCCTGAGGGTCAGGCCCTAGAAGACCCCCGTGGTGCTTCGACATGCTGGAGCCAACTGTTTGGGGAAGCACACGTCCTTCCTAAAATTAGAAATAGTTCTTTGGGAACAAACCAGATTCCAGAAGATGAGGAGCATACCGAAGAGCACAAAGCTCTGGAGTAAAACAGTTTTCCAGGGCAGCTGACTTTCCTTCCTTCTTTGTTTGGTTTATCGGGCCCTGGGCTGGAACTGAACTCAGGGCTTCTTGGACGTGAAGCAAGCCTCTATTGCCAAGTTCTGTCCCGTGCTCAAGGTTGTTTTCTCGATAGGAACTCTGTTTTTTATCAGTTCTATCCCCTGGTCTACCCTCCCTTGTACCCCTCCTCCCAAAAAGGGCACCACCACCTTTTGGCCGAGCATGATTTGAATGAAAGCAACGAAGCAGACCTGCAGAATGTATTCCTGGAAGGAGACCGTGTTGAGGAGGCCGCAACAGTGCAGATCCCACACCCACTCACCTTCACTCAGGGGCTCTCCACCGTGCTCCAACGCCGCACTCGTCTCCTGCCTTAAAAACCACTTCCTAGAGGCATCGGAAAGGGCAGCGGCTTTCTTTTCTGATCGCAAGTGAAATTCCTTTCCTTCAGCTTCCTTCCACTGCACACAACAGGGCAAAAAGACGATTAGGACCGGAAACAGACACTTGAGCTTCCAGAAAGAGCCCCTTCGGTTCCTCTACCTCTCTCCTTCATAGTTGACAAACACACAGGACCTGTGTGGTACTGTGGGACTCGGGGTGTCTGGGGTGGCCTATGGCTATGGAAGAACCCCCAGAGCAGAGGCAGGTCTTGCTAGCAGTGAAGTAGCAACTCCTTTTCACAGGTTCCAGGCCTTATCAGACTAAGCTAGTGATTGATTCCCACCAATGGGAATTAGATTCCTTTAATGTGAATACTATGCCTAAGTTACAAAGACTACAAAATTCAGAGAATCGATTATTTGCTCAGCTCTGGAACACACTGATCATAAAAGTCTAGTGATTTCTACTAGCTCCAGCTCTTCCCCTAAAAAATGAGGAAATTCATCTTAAAATGAGTTCAGAGGATGACCAAACAGTGAATTTAAAACATCCCCAAATGCTACAGCCTTTACATGGACACACACATACAATTTTTGTGATTAAAATACCAATTCATTAAATATAAACTTTAAAGGACCTCAAATTCTGAGGCCAGAAAGGCAGCAGAGATCATTCCCCCTTGCTGATCAGGGCACAGAGTCTGCCTGCTTTCCCAAGACCACACTACAGTAAAGGTAACTTTAAACCCAGGATGCTGGTCACAAAGGACTGTGCAGCAGACGCCCGCACACGGACTCGCAGTCTCCTCTCCAACACAGTATCTGACCTCAAGCGAATTACACCGAGTTTTCAGTCTGCTGAGATGGTGCCGGCAATCCTCGCCTCGAGGAGACAGGGCTCCCACCACAATGTTCCTACGGCCAACACTCTCGGGACTTTGGGTACTGCCCCCACCCCATCCTTCCTTCCTGTCCTGGAAAGAAAGGGCTGTAAGACAGCTTCTTTTCCTCACTGGAGTGAGGTGGGAAGGGAACCTGGGACAGGGCAGCGAGGGGCTAGCTTTCAGAAAAACATATCACAGGGCATCAGCAGGACAGGAAGGCACGGATGCTAGCCACTTAAATCGCTACCCAAAGCCTGAGCCTCCCAGGCCAGCAGGGTCCTCAGAAAGGCCACTTTCCTAAGGTCCCGGGGTGGTTGGCAGGGCCAGCCGAAGGATGCGCAGCTGTGACTCCGCATCACTGTGAATGAGGGACAAAGAATGAAAGCCGTACAGGAGGGAGCGGAGCAGGAAGATGAGAGTCTGAGACGGCGGAGCTGCGGAACTGACTTCAGGCTGCCCACCTCCTCCTGAAAAGGAAGGTACTTCCGTCCTCCTGATAGATACAGTGCTCTGGGTTCTGCTACTTCTGGCTAGTGTCTACCATTTAAATTCGCTTTACATTTCAAGTGTAAGAGTTAGGTAAACTAAGGCAGTAACACTATCAAATCAGCGAGAACAAACCCAGGAGTGGATGAGCTGAGACAACAAGAACCAGAAAGCCATCGATCACTTTCACGTAGCATCAGTATAGATGCTGATCCTGAATAACGTAACAAGACACCGCCCATTGTATCTTGATCATCTAACAGGTCAGGGGAATAACTCAGTGGTAGAGGAGGGCCCAGTCCTCAGCCGGCAAGGCACGAGATGAGCTGACCCCGCTAACCAGACGTCCCAGGTCCCCTCACCTTCTTCGCCTCCTCCCGCATCATTGCGTTTAAGAGCGCTCTTTCTCTCCGTCTGTTCTTCCGGAGGAGGGTGGCGACCTCTTGGTAGCCCTCGCTGCGCAGCAGATCGTCACATTTCTGTTTATGTAAAGCCTCGATCTGCCAGTCAGCATTCAGGCAGGCTTGTTCAGCTTTTGCCAAATTGTCCTCAATTACCTAAAAAAAAGTAAATTTCGGAGACAAGGTGAAATCATATAAATATGGATGTCCACTCACTGGATCCCAGAGTCTGCTAGGTTGTGTGATGTGGTACAGTCATCATCAGGGTGTTTAAACAAACTGACTTCCAGGCCCCATCATAAACCAATTAAATCCATCACCAGGCCAGCTCAGGGAGTTTAAAAGCTCTCTTTTAGAGCAGACATGGATGGGGTAGGGGGTGGGATTGAGTTCAAGGCCAGCTCAAGGTTAGGTAGTAAGACCCTCTCTCAAAGCAACCCTAAACTCCTGAAGTGACTGCTTTTCCAGCCAGCATTGAGAACTTCGAGGTCAGGGAAAAGGTAAGATTCAACAACTTCTGTTTTAACATGCTGAAAAGCAGCGAGAAAAGTCCCTTTTCAGATGTACAAACACCTGTAAGAGAAACGGAACAGTCCGGTACTGCAGAGGAACCAGCTGTGAGACTGGGGCACAAGACTCCTCTTAGCTTGCCCCGTTCCTGATTTTTCAAATAGGGCCAGCCTGGGACACACGCACTTAGCATTATGTTAAAGGGACCTCAGAAAGTTCTTTCTGAACATCTCAAGTCCTATCTCAATTCACTTAAGCTAGCATTTCTGAAAGGGCACTTCATAAAAAATGCTATAAAATAATTGGAAATTTTTTTCTTAAGGCTTCATCAATATACTGTATCCTCAACTCTGGCACAAGCCCCTCATTTTACACCAGTGTCCCCATCCTGACTTGACCATCCCATGTTACTGGATAAGAGTTACGAATTTCCCACAGAGGATGCTTTAGAAAGTCTGGCTTGTACACCAGGCAGAGCCCTGAGGTTCTGTGACCTTGTGCTCTTAGGGACAATTCTTGAGAACACAGCAGGATTGAATAATGTGTAAGTGATTAGTTCTCCTATGCTTTCTTCCATGTCTTAATGGTCTCTCAAAGGGCATGTCAGATGCATGTGGCCAATGCAGTCAACAACCCATAAACACAAAGCCTGGAGTTTCTAAGGACCAAGGCAGACAAAATCAACAACTGGACTACTGTGACTTCAAACCTTCCAAATGTGTGCTCTCAGAAGGCCAGCTCTCGGCTCCCGCTGTGGGCCCCAGGTTCAGGAGGCTCTCACCTTCTGAGTCCTTCTGCTCCCCATCTGGCTGGTTTCTAGCAGCTTCTGGAACATGTGGTCTTCCAGAGCCACTTTCTGCCTATGGGCAGCTGCATCTTTTTGGATTTCCTTTGCAATAGTGTCTTGACTTCTAGTAAGATCCTGGGGAACACAAAGGGACTTTGCTTTGTTCAGGCCTCAAGGACAACCGTCATGGTCTCATTATCAAAGTAATAAGGAAACGGGCGACGTGCTACCAACTGCAGGGACCCTGGAAAACTTCTCCACGAATGCACTGACAACGGCGAGCATGCTCAGAATCAACTTCCGAATTCTAGACGTTAACAGTGTGCGGCACGCTGGGGAACACGGCTCAGGATGAAGGGATCCATTCCCAGCCCACCCACAGCCCCCATCGGCCCGTGAAGCACAGCAGCCTTGGCTGGCCACCCTGGAGACCACGAGTAAGGTACAAGTCAAGGGCCGTGTGCGCAGACCTGAGAGGGTCCTACGCTCTCACTCTGGTTGTCACTCTAGTTTCACACAATCAGAAAGTGAAACTCAAGTTGGGATTGCAAGCTGCCTGGCTGAGTGCTGAAGGTGTACGCAATAGCTGCCCTGGGATCCTCAGCAGAGATGGGAAACGTTTGTTTCACACAGAGTATCATCACCCAGCTATGGAAAGGACTAAAGCACCGACTTATGCACAACATGACCTTGAAGACACTGTGCTAAGTGAAAGGAGCCAACCACAGAAGACTCTGTACATAAGCTGCATTTACATGAACTATCCAGACAGACAAATCCACGGAGATGGACAACAGACCAGAAGTTGCTGGGGTGGGGAAATGGGAAATGATGCTCACGGTACCGGGGCTGGGGCATGTGGGAAGCACACAACCTTCATGACGAGTAAGTTCAAAAGATAGACCGCAAATGGTCTGTGCCAAGAGGCTCACTGACCACTGTGCGTGACAGTAGTGTTTTCTTGCAGTACTGGGATTAAACACAGGGCCTGTGTGCTCTATTAAGTATTCTACCACTGAATACAGCCCCAGGAGTTACTTCTTCTTTTAAGATTTACTTTGAGTGTGTGTGTGTGTGTGTGTGTGTGTGTGTGTGTGTGTGTGTGTGTCAAGCACAGGTGTCCTCAGAAGTCCTGGAATTGGAGTTATTGGTAGTTGTGAGCCACCTGACATGGATGCTGGGAACTAAACCTGCTTCTCTGCAAGTGCAGTACATGCTCTGAACCACTGAACTTACTCAGTGTTAAAACTGTAAGATGAAATTCCAGTCCCCAGGAATTCTTTCTTAAAAAAAAAAATCATTCCATGTGTTCTGCTTGCACGGATGTATGTGTGCCATGTGTGTGCAATGCCCACGGAGGCCAGAAGAGGGCGTTGAGGCCTGGTGCTGGAGTCATAGATGTTGGTGAGCCGCACTGTGGGAGCTCTTAACTGCTGTGCTATTGATCAAGCCCCAGGAGTATTTCTGGAGTCAGAGATCTTTCTTTGATTTTTTTCTAATGATCTACAAGCAGCTTAATTACCTAAAAATAAAAATATTTTTCAATTACATACAGAAAAGGTACACGTACAAAGATGTTAACTGCTAAAAACTGTAAACCACTTAAGTTTAAGATTTATTATTTTTATTTTACGTGTATGGGTATTTTGTCTGCATGGATTTAAGTCACCACATGTGTGCACACAATGCCTGTGGAGGCAGAAGGGGGCACTGGATTACACCACCCTTCACCCTAGAAGTAGAGTTATAGATGGTTTTTAGCTACCATGTAAATGTGCTGGGAATTGAACCTGGGCCCTCTGGAAGAACAGCCAGGGATCTTACCCACTGAAATGTCTCTCCAGCCCAAACATTTAAGTTTAAATAATGTATGGCCCAGCAGCAGCTACTACAGACAGTAACTGTGAAGACCCACAGCCATTCATAAAGAGAACTGCATTATACCGTTTTAACACCAAATGAGTAAAAAAAGGTTTTCTCAAAAACTTGCATTCACAGCTCTTTTCAATGCTTAAAAACTGAAATATATACCCTAACTATATGTTTGCTGATTTAATCCTAGACAATTTAAATTTAAAGTATTTCACCTTTCTTGCTTCCTGTTTCTACAAAAGGTCAGGGGATCATCTCCCTCCCTTATCTAAATGCTCCTCAGGCATCAGTTCAGACTAGGGAGGCTCCTGGACTCTGAGCACCCTACACCGTACACGGTGGGAAAGCTCAGACTCAGGTCTGCAGATGGGGTGACTTCAGTCACTGCTACACAAACGCCTGCTGGAGAGCTTGGCAAACAAGAAATCCTGAGGCCAAAGCTGGGCTCCGGCTGGTGCCACAGATCTGTGACCGCAGTGCTGGAGAGCTGGGAATCCAAGCATCACATGACTGCATTCCGACATTTGCTAACTTACAGTCCTGGATGACATGACACTCTGCTTCAAGAGTAAACAAGAGGGACAACCTATACCACAAACGAGCAGTCTACAGGGCTGAAGGACAGCGGTTCCCCGCAGACACCAGCTTCTACCTGCTCATAAAGTCGTTTTTGTGACTCGAGTTCCAGCTGTCTCATTTCCAGGTCTTTGGCTGTGGCAGTGATTTCTTGATCTCTCATTTGTATCTGTGGACAAATCACAAATTGTCAAGGCCCCAAAGAACTCACAGCACAGTTTTTAATGATGTAGTAATCCTGTAATCTGGGTAGGCCATTAACAGCACTCACTCCCAAAACAAGCACCAGGAACTGGGATAAAGCAGAGTACTCATGGGATCCAGGGCTAATCTGGGTTACGCTTATGTTTTTAAAAAGCATGCACAACTGCCATATGCCCACGGAGACAGACTGACTAGCAGGTGGCAGCTCTTCCCTGTTACGGAAAAGGAAGCAACTGCAAGTTAGAGTGGAGAGAAACAATCTTCAATCGTATTAAAATAATGTATTCCGTTTAAAAACTTAAGCTTCTAAACTTTTTTATAAATTTGATTTGACAACTCATAAGTTCATGTTTCCTGTGACCTGTCTGACTGCTCTGTGCTCTGCGTGGACCACTGGGAGCTCACTGTCTCCAAGTCTGGTTACTTGGGGCTTGTAGTTCTGTAAGACAGAGGTTGGGTAAGGGACTCTCTACAGCATCTTCAAAGTATCTGGCTGCCTACAGACCCAGTTATGTTTAAGTGTGAGGATAGAGTAAATGATGTATATTTGGAAAACAAAACAGCAAAACTATGACCAACCAACTATCCGGCTATCAATTCCCACCCATTCATTCAGTAAACACTTAAGGACTGCATCATTAGCTTGGTCACTCTCCAATATCTACCGATTAAAACGCATGCTGTTAAATACTCAGAAGAGAAGAAGCAGTAAACATGAAGACACCGTGGAATGTAGAGTCACACGTTCAAGGGGTAAAATGAACACTGCACAACTGACCTGAAGGAAGTTAGGGGTAAGCACTAGCTAAGGTGAGGCCTGAGCAGGAAGCCAGAGTCCTGGCAGTAGGGAGAGGGGAAGGGGAGGCTGGGCACAGCGCCACACTCTGTGGAGGGTCCAGTCATTCGAGTATGAGTTTTCAGAGACACAAACAGATCACATGAGTTGTGCAAAAAGATCACACTAGTTTGTGAGTAGATGGCCACAGTCATGTCCACACCCCGCTGGAGCTGGAGCAAAGTCAGAGCACAGCACTGGAAGAGGCAGCCAGAGGGCATGCAGGGCCTCTCCGCTGCTGCTTAGAAGAACCAGGATGCCTCACTGTATGTCAAGAGGATTTGGGATAAAGATATCAGAGTTCTGAGATTGGACCACTTTTGGGAAAGAACATACACTTTTTATTAAGAGTACAAGGCTATTAATTTGATTCACTGGATGAGGCAATTTAAAAGAACTGCAGATTATAAAAGCCAATTAAAATTAATTAGCCTTAAAACAAGAAGTATTAAATTCAATATTTTACAAGACTTAAAAATTTAGTATTTTATTGAAACTAGGTTTTAAGCTTCCAAAACTAATGCATAAACTTAATATAATAATAATGAGAAGAATTTCAATCGGATGGGAGAGAAGATTCAGAAAGAACAACCTCTCTGTTTGGAATGTAAATACTTGAGAACACTGAGTCAAATAAGGAAGAACAGTGAGCGAGGAGTAGGCCCAGGTTAAAAAGCCACAGTCGCTGTCACCCAGCGTGGTGCTGGCCAGGGACAAACAAGAGAGTCCATGCAGTAATAACCCTCACCCAGCAAGTGGCTTCACAACACTCAACAAACGGCATTGGGACCCTGGCCTGCCTTCTACGAAGAGGTGAGCCTGGTCCCTAACTCATTCTTTACAGTCAGTCTTCAGATACACTCGGAGCTGGCAAAAAAGCATCAGATGGAAACTATTTCAGGCTTTGAGGGTCACAGGGTTTCTGACACCACCACCACCTTGCCAATAATTTTAAAATTAAGATACTATTACAAACGAAAACAAGCTGGGCGGCGGTGGCACATGCCTTTAATTCCAGCACTCAGGAGGCAGAGGCTGGTGAATCTCTGTGAGTTCGAGGCCAGCCTGGCCCACAAAATGAGTTCCAAGACAGGCTCCAAAAGCTACACACAGAAACCCTGTCTTGAAAAACCAAAAGAAACCAAAAAAAAACAAAAAACAAAAACAAAAAACAAAAACCAAAAACCAAACAAACAAACGACACTATTAACATTTTTAAGAAGCAAAGGTAAAAGCCAGCTGAACATATTTACAGCAGACAAGTGTTACTATCCCAACCATACACTGCATGGCAGTCACCAACTATGTGTGACTTTTGGGCAAGAAGGAACTGCAAAGGCAAATGACTGCAGGCTGCCACCTATCTGGGTGGAAATGTCAGTTAATCTGGAGACATTCCATCTTCGGAGACTAACCTGGGTTTTGTTTTTGAAAGAAAGGGGTTAATTACAGTCTTTCCTGTGTCTCTACAGGTGCAAGAGTAACTATGTTTGTATTTTATTACGTTTATGTAAATTGTTATTTGCTTTCTATTTTGTGCCTTGTTTAAAAAACTGACTGTTTACTGTCTTTCCATAGTGTTTTGATGGGTCAGTTTCTCTTTCCTGGGGCTATAGAGCATCTCGCTGGTGAATACACCATGGGTAAGATACACACTTAAGATACTCATACCCTAGACACTCAACTCTAGAAACAAGGAAGCACAGAGAGGCCCCCTCTCTAACTCCAGATGTTCTGTACTGGAAATTCTTTTTATATTGGTCACATGTGCGTTTTTATAGTAGAGAAGAATATTTCCCCCAGCTCACAACTGATACCTGACATACTTTCACTTCTGGAGAAACAGTCATTAAACTGACTGATCTCTTGGTATAAGAACAGCTGAATGGTACAGTAAATAACACTGACGGGGCTGTTGTAGTGTGCATCATGGACACTAGCATCATTACTTAATTGAGCATAAACGGAGATCTTGACTAAGAGTAAAGCTGACAGACCTTTCTCTCAATTTCGTCCTCCAGCCTGCGCAGCTCCACTTCACGCTGATCTTGCTGGAGCTTCAGAAGACGCCTCCTAGCAGCATCCTGTAAGCATATTTCCTTCATCTTCAGCTCTCTTTTCACAGCAGCTAGTCTGAAAAACAAACCATATCAAAGCACTTTCCAACACACCTTTGATTTTTTTTTTCCACTGAGTCGCTTGAGCTGTTTGGATACATTTTGTCCACTGCAACACAACTGTGTTTACAATAAACAGAGTCAGTACTCAAGAGGGTCATGGTCAGTGCAACTGGCCATCCTTATCCTTTCCGGTTCACCTTCCAACAGTCTACCTGTGAGCTCCTTTCCCAGTGCCCAATGGAATCCAGGAGCTGCAGCCCGGCGCTAACACATCATTTCAGGACAGTGATACTCTTCAGCTGAAGAGGATGACCGCAAAACCACGACAATGGCACCAAGCAGGGTACCCACATCCTTTACGGTGTTAGTGGAGGCCATCAGCTCTATAATTGATTTTCACTGCTCACAGAAATAGGAATCAATAATCATGGAGAGAAGTCAGTTTCTCAAGCTGAGTGTGGAGGCACACACCTGTTTCCCTAGCACCAGGGAAGCTCAGGCAAGAGATTTCCCCCTTTGCCAATGTTTAAATGTTATAACTTTATTTATCTTATGTATACAAGTGTTTGCCACATGCATGTCTGGAACCTGTAGAAGTCATAAGGATGCATTGGACTCCTAGGAACTAAAGTTACAAAGGTTGTGGATGTCTTGTGGGTGCTGGGAACCAAACCCAGGTCCTATACAAGAGCAGCAAATACTCAGAACCACTGAGTCACCTCTCCAGCCTCTTGTCAAAGATCTTGTGTGTTTGTTTGCTTTGAGACAAGGTCTCATTGTGTAACCCGGGCTGTCCTTGAACTCAAGAGTTCCACACGCTTCTGCCTCCCAAGTGGTGGTATTAAAGACATGCACCACCACACCTGGCATTGCTGAAGTTCTAAATGCATAAGGAGATAACTATTTATGTTTCAATTTGTTGGATCATATAGCTATGTTTAAGCATAATTTTAAAAACTACATTGTTTTGGACAGTGGTGGCACATGCCTTTAATCCCAGCACTTGGGAGGCAGATCCCTCAGTGAGTTCGAGGCCAGCCTGGTCTATCCTGTCTTGAAAAACCAAAAGAGAAAAAAAGCAAGTCAGTGGTGGTAGTGCACGCCTTTAATCTCAGCACTCGGGAGGCAGAGGCAGGCGGATCTCTGTGAATTCGAAGCCAGCCTGGTTTACAGAATGAGTTCCAGGACAGCCAGGGATGTTAACACAGAGAAACCCTGTCTCGTAAAACAAACAAACAAAAAAAAAAGGGAAAAAAATTACCAACAAGAGTGTTTCCAACACTCTATTACAAAGCATTTCTGCCTACCATAGAATTTTTTTTTTCAATAGACAGGTCTCACTCTGTAGCCCAGTCTGGTGTGGAACCCCACTATGAAGCCTAGACTAGACTCAAACCTCCTAGGGTGTTGGGATGACAGGCATGAATCATGCCTGGCTTACAATGAATATTGCTAAACAGTGTTTTTCAAAATACATTAGAACTTACATTGCTTCTGAAGATTCATGTGAGGGGGGGGGGGAACGACAGATTCAACATTGCTTTAGTATTAATTTTACAACATGTAAGTTTAGGAGGCATATACACTTTTTATTACCTTACACATTTGCTTAATGGAAGTTAGGCTGGGTCACTTAACATACAGAGTTCTACCTAAGAGAAGGGGAGGAAACAACCTGTCTGACTCCTGTCCTAGGTTTGCCACAGCAGTGGACTGCACCCGCGTCCCTGTCCCTGCCGGGTCACGCGGACTGCACCCACGTCCCTGTCCCTGCCGGGTCACGTGGACTGCACCCGCGTCCCTGTCTCTGCCGGGTCACGTGGACTGCACCCGTGTCCCTGCTGGGTCACGTGGACTGGACTGCACCCGCGTCCCTGCTGGGTCAGGTGGACTGGACTGCACCCGCGTCCCTGCTGGGTCAGGTGGACTGGACTGCACCCGCATCCCTGCTGGGTCACGTGGACTGGACTGCACCCACGTCCCTGCTGGGTCAGGTAGGCACCTGTGTCTCTGCTGGGCCATTTTCTCTTCCTCCTGCAGAAGCATCTCTCTTCTTGTCTCCTCTGCTCTCCGGAGCAGCTCTTGCTTCTGGTACCAAGCCTCATCTTCAGCTCTCTGCTCATCCACTTCAGCTTGCATATTTTCCACTGTTTGCCTGAAGTCGACAATATTTACTATTATAAAAATGCAGACAAGAAGTGAAGTAATTTAATTCAAAACAACCAAGATATACAATATAGAACCTGCTGAAAGTACAATGTGTGGTTTTATTTTCAGATACAGGAGAAACTAGGCATCTTTAAAGACACCTCTACCCTACAAATTTGGATTTTATACACATACTTTAGAATTCAAACTGATTTCTCATTAAAAACTTTTACTTGGGGCTGGAGAAAAGGCTCAAAGGTTCTTAACCTCTGAGCCATCTCTCCAGCCCCGAAAAGGCTCAAAGGTTAAGATCATTTGCTGCTCTTGCAGAGGACCAGGTTTGATTCCTAGCACCTGCCGTGTGGATTATGTATACTGTTAATAAAATGTTGATTGGCTGATAGCCAGGCTAAAAGTATAGGCAGGGCAATCTAACTGAGGATGCTGGGGGAAAGAAGGGCAGAGTCAGAGATATGCCAGCCAGCTGTTGGGGGAACAAGACGTGCTAGAGGGCAGGTAAAGCCATGAGCCACATGGCAAAACATAGATTAATAGAAATGGGTTAATTTAACTGTAAGAGCCAGTTAGTAATAAGCCTGAGCTATCAGCCAAGCATTTACAATTAATATAAGTCTCTGTGCAGTAATTTGGAAGCAGCTCCTAGGATGGGAAAACTCTGCCTACAAGCATCCATATCTGGTAGCTCATAACCACTTGTAACTCTAGGAGCTCTGGGTCTCTCTGTTCTCAATGGGCACCTGCACACACACAGTGCACACAAGCCCACGCAAGGACACATACATACACATAAACAAAAAGAAAAAAAAAACTTTCTTATTTATAGTGTCTCATTTATCTCAATAATAATTATTACATGATTACCTCTCTCTCAGGAAATCCAATTCATCATTCCTGATCCTTTCTCGTTCCTGTGTCTGATAGTCCACGATAAACTTCGGGTATTGATTAAATATGGGATATTGCCCTTTTGTCAATGCAACAAAAGCATCCAGCATGCTACTTGGATGAATATCAGCAGGTGTAGTCTCCATGAGATGATAAACTTCTCTAATTACAACATTTATGTCCAGGTTATTCCGATGGTGAAAAAAATACTGTAAGAAAACTCGATGTTTAAATCACAGTTTACTCAGCAAAGCATGCCATCACTCAGAAGAAGTAAAAATGAGGACACATCAGACGCAGAGACACACATTCAAGGGGCAGGAGGCTCAGAGCAACTGACCTCAGGGAAGTCGTAGGGAAACACTGGCCATGGTGAGGCCTGAGCTTTGAAGCGAGAGGAGGGAAGGAGGGGCTCTGGGGGCCCAGGCACAGGGCGCCTTTGCTTTTTTGTTACTGTGTAACAGCTAGCCCGAGAATCTGATACAGAGCCCAGACTGGCCTCAAACCTGTGATCCTCCTGCCTCAGCCTTCCTATTGCTGTCATCCCAGGTCACACAGTTGTAATTCCAGCTCTTGGGAGGCAAAGGCAGAAGGACCACCATGAGTTCCAGGCTGGCCTGTGCTATAGAGCGAGTTTGAAACTAGCCTGGGCTACATAACAAGGCCTTGTCTCAAAAATCTAAAACTGGCTAAGCACAAAGAAACCTCAAGTACTATTCTACACACATTTCCAGACTACCACAGCCCAGGGGGCTGACAATGAGATCACTCAAAGAACAAACAACAACCAAGTGTTCAATGCTCTTACCAAGGAGAAACCACCATGTCATAACAACCTGCTTGTCAATAATCTACACAGGGTCAGGGGTGTGGTCCAACTCTCTGTCTATTCTGTTTCTACCACCTGGCACCAATGCCCGACCAGTAGGCTCTCAGTCAAGAAATGTACTTCTCAGTGTAGACACTGACATGCGAGAGCTTCTTGTTTGGGGTTTGTTGTCGACTTGGCGGGTGATGGGATGGAACCCAAGGCCTCTCGTGTGCTAGGCAAGCACTCCACCTCTGACTACACTTCCAGCCTTGAGGATCTCCTCCATGCGTGGGTCCTTACCTCAAAATCATCTTTGAGAGTCGAGTTGAGCAAAGGGGCCCTAGAGCAGGTGTTGTAGGCCACCACGGCCATCAGGAGGAAGGAAGGGTGATTGGAGAAGACGTTGTCGAACAGTCGGAGCCACTCCTCTCTGGTCAGCACTTCTGAGAACACAGTTTCCAGGAGAGGCCAGGCATACAGCTGAAGCAAACAGAGAGGATGTGTTCCACACCTACAACCTAAGCGTCAACCGCCACTGGCAACTGGAGCGGTGCGGTAAATACACTCAGTGCACAATTACGAAAGAACTGTGGTAATCCGGACGATGCTCTGCTTCCCCCAGGCTAGAGACCGAACCAGGGCCTCGGGTACACACGGCAAGTGCTCCACCACTCAACTGAACCCTCAGCTCCTGTTTGGACTCTCTTCCTAGACTTTCAGGAAGGTAACTTCGAGAAGAATGGCAAAATTCAGACTCTGCCAGGAGGTGGTGGCAGCGCCTTTAATCCCGGCACTTGGGAGGCAGAGGCAGGCAGATCTCTGTGAGTTCAAGGCCAGCCTGGGCTACAGAGTGAGTTCCAGGAAAGGCGCAAAGCTACACAGAGAAACCCTATCTCCAAAAAACAAACAAACAAACAAACAAACAAAAATACAGACTGTGTGCCAGGACAGCTCAGCGGGCACAGCTGTTTGCTATCGTGCTGGGTGACCTAGTGTAAGTCTTGCACACACGCCCACAAATGTATATACATACACACACACAATGAATTAATTTAATTTAAAAATTATAAAGTAGAATATACCTTTTATTATTCACTGGGAGAAATACTGTTTTATCCATACCAGAGTCAATCTTAGCTCTCAAAATAAATGATGGCATACTAAAGCCCTTCTATTTCTTACCTGGGAAGTCACATCTCGATCTATAAAGTGCTGTAGCAGCTCCTTGTCATGAAATGCCAAAACATTTTCTATCATGCTAAGAATATTGATGGGAGGGTTAGGAAAGTACTCAAACCAATGTTGACACCAATTGACTACAAAGGAAAAAAAAATCGGAAAATTTTTCTTTAAATATTCTTATGTATTATAAAAGGATTTTTTCTTGAGATAGTCTCACTATATCTCAATATAGTGTATGTATGTATATATTCATATTCCCAGGCTAGTCTCAAACTTCTAATCCTCCTGTCTCAGTCAATCTAATGTAGGGATTATAGACAACCACACTGGGATTTCTTAATCTCTAGTCCTGTGGGTGGGACACAGGAGCCTTACACATACTAGGCAACACTATCACTAGGCTGTACCCCCAGCCTATTTACTCACTTAGTTAGTTAGTTAGTTAGTTTGTTAGTTAGTTAGTTAGTTAGTTAGTTAGTTACAGGTTCTAAGGCAAGCCCTGAACTTGTGGTCCACCTGCCTCAGTCTCTGGATTAGCCGGGATCACAGGCCTGTTAACACCAGGCCCAGTGAATCCATTTTTTTTTTTTTTTTTTTTTTTGCTCTTCAATAGGCTCATGAATAAAGAAGAGATAGTATCTTTTTAGTTTCTAGATCATGAGTATTCAAAACTCCATGGTGTTAATATAGTAATTCAGGCATAAAGAAAATTTGCCAGTTTCTTCAAGGCAGTTGTTTGAAAATGTGTCAATAAAAATACGTGTACACACACACATACACACACACTCTTCCAAACCATTCCTAATCCAACATGTTGGACCTTCTGGTTCCTGCTGACTCCTGTATTTTCAGTCTTTGATTAACAAAGGGATTTTCTTAGAAAAGGCCATGTGTTTTGGTTTACCCTTATTGTCAACCTGATAAAACCTAAAATCATCTAGGAGACAGACTTCTGGGCACGTCTGTGAGGACATTTCCAGAGAGGTTTAAATGAGGTGAGAAGGGCCACCATCAATACGGTGGCTCCATTCCACAGACAGGGAAAGCCCGTGACGCAACGGTACAACCACGTGCGCCTGCTGTCTGCCTGTGGATGCAGTGTGACGCGCTGCCATGGCTCTCCTCTCATCATGCACCAGCAGCCACGTTCCTTAAGTGACTTTCCTCAGGCCTTTGTCACAGCAACAAAAAAAGCTGTATTCCTTGATGTTACAACCTCTCACCTCAGGTCAGCAGCAGAAGTTCCATCAGCAGAGTATTCTATAGTTTAAGAAGGTTTTCTAATTCTAGAACTCTGTTATTTCACTTATTACCATCCATTCAAATCTGAGCTAATAATTAATCCAGAAGTAAAACCTCGACAAGATCTCAACTTCTTGCTGCTATTAAAATGACTGGGAGCAGACTGGCCTAACCCAGCCTCAGAACTTGGGGGTCACCTGTAGAAAGAGGGTATTCATACCTATTGCACAGGGTGGCTAGGAAGGTAAACGGAGCAAACCAAAGTGAAACAGCGAGAACAATGTGGCATATGAATTGCTCGATTTTATGAGCCTCAGATGGTGGGGATGAGGGCAGCAGCCAGTACCTGGGCACTACCCAGCAGGCACTGTGTGCCAAGGGCTCCACCCTAGAGCAGTTCTGTGAAAAGCAGCAAGTCCAAAGACTGGCTTCTTTCTAACCGAAACCACCCGCAACAATACTGTCTAAAAATTCCTACACTCCACATATAAGTGATTGATGTGTCTGTCTACTTTTTGCTCTAAACTTGACTGTTTCATACTTCTTGACTCAAAAATAAAGAGATCTAGATTCCCTATATGTGGCAAAGGTACTAAGACACCAGGAAGACACATGAGACTCCGTTCTTGGTTTGGTTCTACAGTACTTACTTATGAGAGTAGCAACAACTTCAAAACAGATGAGCTGATTGTTCTGGAACAATTTCACAAATGGAAAAGCCAAGAGTGGAAGATATGGAGTGTCGCTGAAGATGGCAGACCAGTGAGCTAATGCAGAGAGGGTTCTGGAAGCAAGGACCAGAAAGGGACAGCATTATCACAGTGTGTCTTAGTAACTGATTCAGATTTGGTGGAGACTTTCTGTCTTATGCCTATCATACAGTTCCCCTCTTTAGAAGCACTGGGCGGGAGTAGCACACACCTTTGATCTCAGCAATGGAGAGGCAGAGCCAGGCAGATCTCTGGGAATTAGAAGCCAGCCTGGTCTACATTGTGAGGTCCAAGCCAGCCAGGGATACACAGTGAGACCCCATCTCAAAACAAAACAAAAAAACCCAACCCCAATCTGCCCTCACCACCAACAAAAGAACTCAACCCCTCACAAATGGTGGTATTACATAAATACTGTTCTGTGTCTTGAAGTTTTCAGTTATTACTTGAAACGTTAATATCAGGATCTGGAGTGTAAATACCCTCATGATGTTTTCTTGGTGTCTATGAGAGCTTTGTGTTGAGGAATCTCATTTATTTAAATAAGATTCCTATCATTGGGCCTTGGGGTCTTTCTGCTTTCATAAACAATGCCGCACTGAGTATCATTACATGTGCATCTTTCCTCAAGGGGGAAAACAGACTTGGATAAACACTAAGATATGCACAGCTGTATGACACATAATCCTCAACGGAATCTATTTAGGTTGCCGCTGACGTTGTGAAGGGATGTCTGTTTTCTCAAGGCTCTTCAAAGTGTTATCAACATTTTGTGATGGGTATTCCTGGTTGCCAACTTCACTATATCTGGAAATAACTAAAACTGGGCTGGGTACACCTGGGAGGGATTTTTTTCTTAATTAAATAATTTGAAGGGGGAAGACCCATTTTTAATCTGGATCTTCTGAGGTGGGAAGACCCACCTTTAATCTGGGACCCCCCTTCTGATAACAGCCTATAGAAAGGGCAAGGAAGAAGGAAGCTTGCTCTCTCTGTCTGCTTGCCCTGACTCCTGCTGGCAAGTCCATTCGTTCAGAGGCATTAGAGCCTACTTTTTCAAGATTCTGGAGTACACCTAAGGCAAGCTAGGACATCCAGCCTCGTGGACTGAACAACTGTTGGATTCTTGGACTTCAATTGGTAGACAGCCATCGTTGGACTAGATGGACACAGACTGTCAGCCATTCTTACAAATCCCCTTTCTGAATATATATATGTGTGTGTATGTATGTATGCATGTATGTATGTATTCATTCATTCTATCAGTTCTGTTCCTCCAGAGAACCCTGACTCATACACATTTCTGTCAAACTTCTTTTTTTTTTTAATCTTATTTTATTTTTAAAATTTTATTATTTTTGTGGGTTTTTTGAGACGGTTTCTCTGAATAGCCCTGGCTGTCCTGGAACTCAAAGATCTGCCTGCTTCTGCCCTCTTAGTGCTGGGATTAAACACATGCGCCACCACCACGCCAGGGTCGTCAAGTTGTCCTCTGACCCCACATATGTGCCATGGCAAGTGCACACACAAAATCAGGCACAGCAATCTATACTAAAGGAGGCCAATGAGAGACTCTTAAAGGAAAACAAAAGGACAAAATAGCACAGATCCTATTTCTGTTAACTGTGTGCGTAGTGTGTGTGTGTACACCTGCAATTATGCTCTACTTGGGAGGCCAAGGCAGGAAGATCGCCAGTTCTAGGCCAGCCTGGGCTACTTAGGGAGACTTAGGGGAAAAAATCCAATCAAATCAAAATACCCAGTATGCCTGTGTCTGCATTATATACCTATGGAAGCCAGCCCCAAACAAGCAGCTGCTTCCAGTGTAAGCCGACTTCGGGCGGAAAAGCACAGACTTCCCTAGATTTCTGCACCACGGCATCTATCTTACAAGGGACTCATCCAGTTACACGTTGATTTTATTTTATGTGTCTCTGTCTGTCTGTCTGTGGAGGCAGAAGCAGCAGTCCCACACATCCCCGGCCGGGGGTAGAGTCAGAAGAGGTTGTGGGCTGCCTGACACAGGTGTTAGGAATCAGACTCTGGTCCTCTGGAAGGGCAGGAAGCTCTCGTACCCAAGAACTACATTCTTTTTAAAAGATTACAATAGAGCATTTGAAGGAACTTGAAATGTTCAAAATACAGAGGTAGGAAGCAGTCATCTGTCATGTACGTGGATTTACCCTACCTCCACCACTTTACCACAGTAGCTTAGCAAATCTTTAACACATCATTTTATTCGTTAATAGTTAGGTATACATCTTTAAAAAATGGGGGGGGGCAGTGCTGGTAAAATGGCTTAGCAGGTAAGTGAGCTTGAATGTAAGCCTGGCAAGCTGAGCTCAGCTCCTGGGACCTGCAAGAGGAACAGGAGAGAATTCTCACAAACTGACCCCTCACCTCCACAAGTGTGCACATGACATGCTCTCTCTCTCTCTCTCCCTCTCTCTCGCTCTCTCTCTCTCTCTCTCTCTCTCTCTCTCTCTCTCTCTCACACACACACACACACACACACTATAAATAAATAGAAATACATATAATTTTAAAAATGTTTAGTTAAAAAACAAACCTTCACTTATATAGTCACATCGTTATAGTACTTAAAAAATAAACATGGTTTGTTTCTTCAGTACAATCCATAACCAGACAGGTCTCATCTTTCTGCACTTGACTAATCAAGCTGAAAACAATTCTCCTTCATTAAATTATAATTTTGAATTAAAGTTATAAAATAAACTATAAAAATAAAATAAAATTTTTAGCCAGTGGCGGTGGCGCACACCTTTAATCCCAGCACTTGAGAGGCAGAGCCAGGCGGATCTTTATGAGTTCAAGGTCAGCCTGGTCTACAGAGCGAGATCCAGGACAGGCACCAAAACTACACGGAGAAACCCTGTCTCGAAAAACCAAAAATAAATAAATAAATAAATAAATAAATAAATAAATAAATAAATAAATAAATAAAATGTGATGTTATGTATATAAGTACTTTGCCTGCCTGGTCCCCTCAAAGACTAGAAGAGAATGTTCTAGTGGAGTAACATACCGGTGAGCTGCCAGATGGGGTCCCTGAAGAGCAGCCAGTACTCTTAACCACTGAGCCATCTCTGTGATGGCTCCTACTTATAAACTCAGCCTGTGGGGTCTAATGCAGGAGGACCGAGACTCTAAGGCTGGCTTGAGCTACACAGTAAGTTCCAGGCTACACTGAGCTAGTGAGATTCTGTCTCAAAGAAAAGACATTAGAAAAACAGAAATTGAAAAACGAAAGGAAAAAAAAAATGAGGATAATTTGAAGTATGTATACAGAATTATAATTAAAATAGTAATTTTAATTGTAAATGGATTAGTAGACACAGAATTGCTTTATGCATCTAACTGACCACATTTTATGGAAACTCTTGCCACTTTAGGTGGAGTTTAGAAAACTGGACCTTGGGAAGTGCCTGTCCACATATTATGTAGGCAGAAATACAACAAGTGTGTTTCCTTCTCTGAGCAGAATCATCAGACAAAAGTCAGCATCTCGGGTGCTTGTATCTATTGACAAAACCAGGCATTCTGCGTCTGCTTCTGTAGCTGCCCATGCCCCGTGCACGGTGATTCACTGACCTGTCCCTGCTAATGATCCTCTGGGTTGTTCCCAGTCTTTGCTCTTGAGGGGTGTTTAGTTATTTAGCTTCACCTATACAGACTTTTAAAAATTCGCCGGGGGGGTGGTGGCATTCGCTTTTAATCCCAACACTCGGGAGGCAGAGCCAGGCAGATCTCTGTGAGTTCGAAGCTAGCCTGGGCTATAGAGTGAGATCCAGGAAAGGCGCAAAGCTACACAAAGAAACCCTGTCTCAAAAAACAAAAACAAAACAAAACAAAACAAAAATTCGATGTACCTAAGTTTTTAATGTACCTTTGAATTCGATGAAATATCAGCTGACTTTGAGACTTATTTTACTCATTTGGCCCCTACATTTAATGTGCTTCCTGCTGTGCATGGTAAGTCTGCATAAAATGACATTATATTTTTGGTTGTAAGCCTAGCCTTTAAAGGCCGAGCCATCTCTCCAGTTATAAATGACATTATATTTGTCAGAATACCCTTGTGCCTTGCCTGTGATTCTTTGGTTCAAGTATGCAGAGTTAAACAAAGCATGTGCTTTGGTAGGAAGCCTTGTCTTTGTAGATGCAGGAGGAAATTTAAACCAATGGGAATGTGTTCCTTTAGAAAAGAGCATTTTCATACCTTCCTCTGAAATACTGACTTGCCTGTGTTCCGAGGATGAACAGACCACGTATTCCTTCTGTTGATCCCATCACTGCTATAGTTTAAGAATGAAAACAAACAAACAAAACAAAACAAAACAAAAACCTAAAAAGCACTTCAACTATTTTCAGTAATTCTAATATGAACTAGGCATGGTGATATATACCTGGAGAACCTGAGGCAGGAGGATTGTCATGAGTTAAGGCAAGCTTGGCTTACATTCCAAGTATGGGGCCAGCTAGATCTATATAGTAAGAGCCCACCTCAAACACAAAATAACAAAAACACCAATCACCTACCTAAAACAATAATGTAAGATATAGCTTTCCCATTCCCACACATACAGTTTTTAACACACATACAGTACAGAGTTCAGAAGTCGGTGTACATGCAGAAAAAGTGGGCTATAGGTGTGCCCCAGTAGTAGAGTGCTTAGTGACCATGTAAAAGGCCTGAGGTTTGATGCCAGTGATACACACACACACACACACACACACACACACACACACACACACACACACACGCACATCAATGTCACTATGAACCAGGATTTTTTTTTTTACTCTAAAAGATTCAAACACAAAATCAAAGAAGTTATGCAAAAAAAAAAAAAAAAAGGTTTTAATCCTAAATTTGATAGAAAATATTACTATAAACTCTTTCCTCACCCAGTCCACCAGAAAGGCCTATGTTTAAGTTTATAATGTATAAACTTATTATTCTAAGATAATTAACTTACTGCTTTGAAAACTGGTAAAATTTTAAGTTGATGATGGGAACCCTGTCTTCCTGTGTGTGTGTGTGTGTGTGTGTGTGTGTGTGTGTGTGTGTGTGTGTGTTTTCATGGGTGTGTGGGAGCCCATGTGTCTGTGTGAGGCGACCGATCAGCAGACAATCATGGCTGTTGTCCTCAGGTATCCTTCCCTTTGGGTTTGAGACAGGGCCTCTTCTTGGCCTGGGACTTCACCGACTGAGCTGAACTAACCAGTTGGCCATCGAGTTTCCAGGGATCTGCCGTCTCCGCCTCCATCATCCCACCCCTGAGACTGCAAATATGCACACTGCCCCAGACTTTTATGTGGGTTCTGGGGATTGAACTCAGATCCTTTGGCCTGCAAGGCAAGTGCTTTATGAGTCATTTCCCCACCCTTGGAAAATGTTCTTTATGGAATCTTTCCACGTAATAAAGAGAAGGAATGACAGAAGTAGATTGTCAGTGTTTTGCTAATCTCTGGACTGGAACGGATTTAGATGATGGTCAGTAATAACCAGTGACGCCTTCAAGAGAGAAACAACCAGCGACCACAAACCTCCTAAAGAAGTACACAAAACCACCTATAATGCCACCCAGCACACCACCAGGTGGAGGAACGAATACCCTGGCTCTGATCAGTTTAGAGTACATCGTGGATAAAGAGAAATGGAGCAAACAACAGTAAGGGAGTGAACCAGCACACCCAGACTGTGGTAGAGTTTGCAGGCTGAGTCCTGGTTCCTCCACAAATACACTGCAGGGAAACAAGCTGGAAACCAAAAGAGGCTCTGGGGTCGTGGCCCAGGCCCAGAACCCCAGCTCTCATGCGGCAGAGGCAGGAGGGCGAAAGTTCCAGGACAGCCTGGGCTACACAGACACTGTTCCATAAAAGCCAAAACAAATAATAAAATTATAAAAAGAGACGAGACTTTGAGGGGGACAGTGTCAATCAGATACTGTGTGTATAACTTGCTGGAATCCATAAAATTAATTTCCCAAGTCGATCAGTAGTGGGGATGCTGACTGGGTATGTGGGCTACAAGAGTGAGCTTTCCTGTCGGTGTGATAATGGCAGAACACACACACAGGCTGGAGGAAAGGAGTCTCCAGCTTTAAAGGCGCACGTGTAAACATTTAGAATGGTATGTGCATGCATGTCTAGGGAGGCAGCAGAGAAGCTGCTGTGGAGAGGGTGGAGCAACAGAACAAGCTGGTCCACAAGCCGGCCAACTGCTGAAGCCAGCGAGGGCACAAGGCTGCTCTTCCCGTGTCCCACTTTTACATAAGCTTGCAGTTTTTCATCATAAAAACTCTGCAAAAAGGCCTTGGATTCTAGAGACCAGGAGCAGTTCCAGCTCTTACAAGTGACCAGATCACATTATCCAACCTCTCTATGCCTTGGTTTTTCTACCTGTAACTTAAAGTAAATATGTATTTACCTAACAATGAAGACATTTGTGCTCAGCCTTGTGATGTGACATGCTGTCACCTACAAAGTTCACACTTGAGAACTGTGCGATCCAGTTACTGAAAAAGAAAATCTCACAATGTTTTAAGTAGGTCTGCAGCTCTGTGTTGATACCTTCATAGCCATGCTCAGCTCCATGCAGCGAGCATGTGGGCTGCAGCTGGACACACTTGCAATACCTGCAGTTGGACATACGAGCTTATGACTAGCATTCACCAAGTGTCTACTATGAACTAGACACTGTTCTAAGTGACACTGTCTTCAAATACCCCAATAATCTCACAATGTTGGGGTGATCAGCTCCAACCCCATTTCCTGTCAAAAAATTAAAGATGGGGGAGGAAATACATGTCCTTTATTAAATGATGGAATAGAGTCAAGGCCAGGTGGTGGCACACACCTTTAATCCTAGCACTTGGGAGGCAGTGGCAAGCGATCTCTGAGTTTGAGGCCAGCCTGGTCTACAGAGTGAGTTCCAGGGCAGCCAGGGCTACACAGAGAAACCCTGTCTTGAAAACTCAAAAGAAAAAGCAGATGGAATAGAGTCAAAACTGGGTCTTCTGTCTTAAAGCCCAAGCTCTTCCCACTACTGTCTTTGCTCCTTTGGATTATCCAAGGGAGTATGATTTTCAGGAACATAACACAATCTCACATCCATACATGATGCATGTATTTTTTGTTTTTTAAAACAGTCCTACAAGCTGGCAGTGGTGGTGCACGCCTTTAATCCCAGCACTCAGGAGGCAGAGGCAGGTGGGTCTCTGTGAGTTCAAGGCCAGCCTAATGTACAGAAAGAGATCCAGGACAAGCACCAAAAACTACATAGAGAACCCCCATCTCAAAAATAAATAAATAAATAAATAATTAAAGAAAACAGCCCTGCATACCAGACAAGGAGAGTCAACCCTGACCAAGCAATCCTCCATGAGAAGGGGGTTTGGAAACACTCAGCCCTTGGTTCCCACCCCACACACTGCTGCGGTGTGTTAAGCGTACCTCTGCAATATTCTCAGTAGTTTTCTACTTTTGATGGGGTATTTCTTCTGAAGGTTCAGATAAGCCACATGAGTCCCCTTATCCATCAAACTACTAAATGCTGTATGGTTTTCAGGCAGTTGTAGTAGGGAGCGCCAAATAAACATTCTGAAATAAAAATCTGATTTGAAATAAAGGAAAAAAAAACTTGTTTTGAGTGAAACTAATTTAGAATGAGAGAATTTGAGGTTTACCTGTACTTTGTCGGATATTCCCCATAGCCTTTTAATAAGATTTGCAAACGTTTTTTATTTACTCCTTCGGACAATTCATTCTATAAAAAGATTGTATCATAAGTGACCATCAAGCAACTGAAAACATGGTAATCTAGTTCACAGTGACTTCCAAACTTTAGAACACAGCACACAAGACAGACAGAGTGGCCCATGCTGGCAATCTCAGCACTCAGAGAGCAGGCTGGAGGATCATTAGTTTGAAGCCAGCCTGGACTACAGGGGAGATCCTGTCTCCAACAACAGGACACAACTGAACACAATATACAGTGAGACACATTCATGCCGCTGACCCTGCCACACACGCTTCCTCTCTCCTACCCTCAAGTGCAGCCATGAACACAGCTATGAATCCACCCATATCACCCTCCTAACAGCACCGAGCATGAAGACTCCAACACAGCACAATGGGAGCTGACCGTCACTAAGTCGGAATCGGCTTTATACATTCTTTCCTACCCCAAGTTTTATCATTTAAATGCTTATAGAAAAAAATTATTAAAGTTAATGCGAAAAATACCAAATTCCATTGCTGAGGCTATGGAATAACTAGAACTCTCTTTACTGTGCTAGGAATATGAATTACTTCAACAGTTTAGGAAAAACCGACAGCATTTACTAAACAAACCTACGGTATATCAAGAGGCTAAGATGTGAGGCAGAACACATACTTAGTACATATGTGTAATGTGGAGTTCATACTTAGTACATATGTGTAATGTGGAGTTCATACTTAGTACATATGTGTAATGCGGAGTTCAATCTCCAATACTCACTCTTCCCAGCAAAGAGCCCATTATCACTGAGGCAAAGGGCAGTGTCTCAAAGGGAGTGGTAACATTCCATTCTTTGATGTGGGTGCTGGTAGCATGGGTGTACTTGGTTTGTGAAAATTCAGTGTGTACTTCACACGTGTATTTTATTGTCAATAAATAGGTTCCTTGAAGATAATGTTAGACGTTTCTATTAATATCTACATTTTCTTTCTATTTCAAAGCAGAAAGAAACACTTAAAGAAGGAAAACCATTAGGAAAACCACACGGGGCAGTGAGATGGCTGGTGCCCTGGTCAAAGTGCTTGCTGCATGAGCTTGGCGCCCCGAGTTTGACCCTTGGAACTCACAGTGGAAGGAGAGACCTGACTTAAAAGTCGTCCTCTGATCTCAACAAGTACACACGCACACACACGCACGCACACACGCATGCACGCACGCACGCACGCTCGTACTCATGCATGCACACAATTACTTAATTTTAAAACACAAAGCTTCTTGAACTCTTTCTTTCCAGGCGACCCTACTATCGCTGCCTCCGAGGAGCACAATGAAAACTCCAGCGGGAGCAGTGGAAAGCACGCTTCCGGTCTGCCCTGGTAACCCTCTACAGCAGCGGCCTAACAGAAATACAACATGAGCCACAAATGGGACCTAAAACCTTAACAAAGGTCAAGAGAAACAGGGAAAAATCAGTTCCATAATATAATTTATTTAACCCAACATAACCAAAATATCACTTTAACACAATCAATATAAAATCAATTCATTAAAAAAAAATAAAAATAAATCAATTCATAAGACAGTTTATAGTCTAGGCTTTCCTACTTTCTTACTACATGTTTTACACTTAAAGCATCTTTTTTAAATATGTATTTATTTAGTATGTACACATGTGAGTGTGAGTGTGTGTGTGTGTGTGTGTGTGTGTGTGTGTACGAGTGTGCATGCACATTCCACAACACAGGTGAAAATCAAAGAATAATTGTCAGAGCTGGCTTTCTTACTCTGCTGTCAGGGTTTGTTGTGTTTTGTTTTGAGACAGTGTCTCACTATGTGATCCAGGTTGATCCCAGAGTCACAATCCTGCCTCTACCTCATGCATGTTGGGATTATAGGTGTGTGCCACCATGATGGGCTACTACAGCATATCTTGATTCAGATTACCACACCTCAAATATCATCAGCCACACACCAGCCCAGAAATCACGAGATGAGCCTACAGCAGGGTCACAGCAAGCTGGAGTTTAATTATAATGCATTCTTACCTCTTTGTTTTCTAAATTACCCGTCAGGTCTTGCTTGAGTATTCTAGTTTGAATTTTGCTCTCTTTAGATCTTGCTGGTCGCTGTACTCTCCCTGACATTATTTTCATTTTAAGATTACTGGATCGCAGTTTATTGTTAGGCAAATCTTCAATCACTTTAACCAAGGGAGGAGGTGGCTAAAAGAGGAGAAAAATGGCTCCATGTATTGATGTACCTATACGTATCTTCCACAGTATTCTTAGAAAGTAAGCCTCTTAACACAGGATTCATCAACTTTACTTGAATAGCATGCTTTAATTTGTATACAGCATATGTCTGTCAAATTCCTTTAAAGAACAAATAAATATACATGAATAACAGCAAAAAGTAGAATTGATTCCCAAAAGGTGCCTCAAAATGGTATGATGGCAAACCACTCTCCACTTGCACGATGAAGTCAGCACAAGACGGCGACACCGAGAAGGCAGGGCTAGACAGATGTCCTGGGAGAATGCTGAGGACAGCGCCTAACGGGCGGGTCCCCTGAACCCTGTGAGGTCGAGGACCGTGTTCTGCACAGCGAGGGCTGTCAGTCCCTTACCATGTCAACTGCTCAAGAGGGCAGCTCAGGCGACAGAACCCAAGAGCTCATCTTTAGGGGCCACCAAATGGGAAAAGCTAACAATCAACTTACTTGAACTGAAATGACTCACTAGAACATTTTCTTCATAAATGGCACTCCTTTTGAAATCAAATGATCTTCCTTATTCAAAGGAAATGTGCAAATATGGTCACCTGGGCTGAGTTCTAAAGACAAGGTACAGTACCCACTTCTGTGATTTAATTTTTCACCCCAGGATGGATCAAAGCAATTTGACCAAATTATGGTCATCCTTTAATATTGCTGAGCTGTTCATTCTTTAATTTCAGTCCATTCTAAGTTCTTATTAAAGCCTCTATTCTGAAATTATTTCCCCTGCTGGGGCCTCATCCTTGGCTTCAAGCACAATCTGCCCCAGGCCAGAGCCAGAGATGTGACTGGACTTACTTGGCTCCTCTCTGCCATGAATACGTAAGAATTCACTGACTTCATTAGAACAATATCAGAGATTCTCTAATGACAGGAAATGAGGTAAAACTCAGAAGAACGGGGCACAGGTGAGTCAAAGTTTGTACAGGAAAGGCAGCTACACATTCACACAACAGCCACAGAGACACCAGACAATGGGCCCTAAATGTAAAAGACGATTCGACTTGGAGCTGGCTTTCTTTCGCTGCGCTCTCAGGGTGCTAGGCACACAGCAGCCCAAGGGGGTAACGCACTCAGAACAGCTCTGCTCAGTCTTCTCCCACCTCTTGAGTAAGCAGAAGAAAATGAAAAGACTAACGACACTCAGCAAGAGCACGTCATGTACTGGTGATTTAAAAAATAACATATACTAAATGTTCCAACATACAAAAAGCACAGAGCTATGGCAGCTATAATGGAATATTTTATATAATATACATTATATATAAGAACACAAGATTATAATCCCATATGATAGAAAATACATACTCACAAACACACACATACATGAACACATATGTTAGCTGAGTCTTGCCATTCCAAGTATATAATTATATAGAATATCTCAAGTACTGAATTAGTAGAAACAGAACCACGGATTCCAGGAAAAAGTTAGGGAGCCTCATCCATATTTCATAAACTGACTTGTAAAGCATAACCTTGCTTTGTATGTGTTCCTGGTTAAAGATACCTTACTTGAAATACATTATTGACTTCCAAGCTAATAGCACTGTAACTCATGCCTAAGTGAATTAAGGATATACATTTTCCTCAAGGTATGACACAGCTTTCTTGTGCTTAAGAAACCCAGGCTGTGCTTCAGCATTATTCTTGGGGGTCAGTATAAATGGCAAAATCACAACAAAAAGACCCAAACTGTAAAATGTAAAACCTAGGATTTTATCCAGACTTTGAAAGATAATTTGGCTGTAGGAGAAGAGCTAAAACAATACAAGCCTTGTCCTATTCCACCTTAGCTGGGACTAGGGTGGTAATGAGTGGAATGAATGCAACAGGAAGGAAGCTACTAAGTAGTAGTAAGAGATGATAAGGAGGGATGGAGGGATGGCTCAGAGGTTAAGAGCACTGGCTGTTCTTCCAGAGGACCTGGGTTCGATTCCCAGGATGTATGGCAGCTCACAACTGTCTGTAACTCCAGTTGCAGGTGATTGGACACCATCACACAGACATACATGCATAGGCAAAACACCAATGTGCACTCACAAAAAAATTTTTTAAATCATTTAAAAAAAATGATGATGAAAACATTATTTTAGAAAAACGTCATGTAGAAGAAGATGGATTGATGGGAAGGGTAGCCATTGAAGATTGATTTTAGGAAATTTGCTTAAATTATTGTAACTTGGAATTAGTTAATAAAGACCAAGATAGAGAACAGGGAGCAAAGACAGACAATAGACAGACAGATAATAACAGATGGACGATAAGATAATGGACAGACGATAGACAGATAATAAGATGCTAGACAGACCTAGCAGAGATGACGGATAGATACATGATAGGTAATTGATAGGTAGGTAATAGATAAGAGAGATGACAGATGACAGGTGGATAGAGATATATCTCAAATTTAAGAAATGCTATGACGGAGCAGCGACTGGATTAGAAGAGAACAGAAAGGGCCACAGCACTCCAAGGTTTGTAACCAAGACTCCGGATTAAAGACCTCTTCTGGAAAAGAGATCAAGGGCGGCAGTGATGGGGTTAGCACCAAGCTGAGAAGGAGCCTAGTGAGAAATCAGAGCTGGAGAATACATCCAGAAAAAGAGATGTGTCCCAAAGAAGTTAGAAAACAGCTCAGAAGGACATTTCCCTCTTGGTGATGCAGTACTGCAGTGCAGGGAACAGATTCAGTTCCTGGATGACATACCTTATTTATTTCTTGTGTTAAAGCCTGAACTGAATAGACGTTCAGACTTCCATTTTCCATAATAGATGCTATGTACCGACCGTGTGGGCTAATTACTGATGAGCTAATTCCTTCTTCGACGCTCCCAATTTCAAAGAGAAGTTTACAAGTCTGTATGTTGACAAATCGCATGATCCCGTCTTGACTGAGCACACCAAGAACCTGAGCAGACAGAAACGATGGGACTGTGACACTTGAAAGCCCAGCGCCTGAAAGTTCGTATACACAGAGAGGGACTACATACGTGTGTACACTTACACGCATGTCATGTCAGTACATTTTAAAAGTAATGCGTTCATTTTATATCATTTCTAAGAGGGCGGCTCAACTTCCAGGGAGTCGTTACACATTTTGAAACCACTAACGATAGCTCATGTGGATGTGTGTGACTCCGGCCACATGGTATGGAACACACCCTGAGAAACTACGGAAGGCTTTGGCTTCCCCAGGCAGGCCCCCTCCTCTGAGACACAGAGGTCAGCTGCTGACCCTCACCCCCACACTGGCTGTCAGAGTGAGGAAAGGGGCGCATGTGCTCTTGGTGAAGGCTCCCCACTCTCCACCAGTCTTCAGCTGCTCTAACTGCTCTTTGGAGAATGGACTGAGATTATGGGTTCTACACTAGATTATGGAAGGGGAGTAGGTGGGAAGCTCGTCTTCGCAGGGAAAATCATTTAAAGTCATACAGCTTGAAAACGTTACACCTGTGGGCTATGGCCAATGGCTGTAAGCTACAACCGCGTACAATTCTTTGACACTCCAGCGTCATGTTGTTGTACGGCGTCAACAGGAAAAGCGTGCTCCCTGACTGGCTGGCGGGCAGGGCACAGCCCTCCACATGCGCAGCAGCAGGTGCAGGCTGTCTTGACGACAACTTGGAAAGACCCTGTCCTAATTACAGATGCCTTTGGAAATTACTTCAACTCTGAGATTTTTATCCTACAAATAGGATATGGAAAATGACATTTGCAAAAACTTAGTTATCCAGTGAGGCATCATTTCTAATGAAAAGGACTAAGAATAAGTGCCCAATAACGGAGGAATAGTTTAAAGGAAATACAAGAAATATTATGAAGCCATGAAAGAAAGATATTTTGTACTAATATAGAATAATTCCCAAATTCAGAAAAAGGTATACGGCTGTGTGGACAGAGAAAACATGTTCTAGATATACACATGTATAACAATAGTAGTTACAGGGCAGGAGAGAGTGACCAGACAAACAGGAGACAGGATGGGCTTACCCCCGATCCTTTTCTGGAAGTTTTACAATTCCAACCATATGAATGAATCAACAATTTAGAACTCTTAAGTAAAACAGATAAGATACCCATGAACATACTGCATGTGTGTATAGCTACATGAAACACATATGAATTTTACTTTGAAATTCATGACTGTGACTGTCAATTTAAAATAAAGTTAAAGCAATTATTTATCAGTAATATTAAATAAAGAACACAAGATTCTGAGTTCTTTTTTCAACTCTAGATTCTTCACATACACAAAAAAATACTTAACATTTTAGGATCGTGTCAGTCCTGCTGTAAGTTATGTAAGAGCTGACGGAGATGGAGCTGGGATGCGGTTGGGGTGGGGGCATTATGGGGAGGTAGAAGAAGGTAGTGTGGGTAGACATGGCTAATAGACACTATATAGATGTGGAACCTTTCAAAGAACAAGGACTATTGAAAAAGAGAAATGCTTGAACAACAGAGCCAACGTGGGTCTGAAAGCGGGTGCTGGCATTTCCGTTACTAACCTGATTGGAACCAGCATCAAAGCTATCAGGAAGGAATTCCAGATGGCGAACAGCTCGGACCTTAGTAGGCATCTGGATGATTCTGAAGAGCTGCGTGGCCTCCAAGCACCACAAATGCAGGTGGTTGGATTTGCCTCCAGCAGCCAAGATCCGGCCGTCTCTACATTTAAAAAGCAGAACCGAAACAGTGAGGGGCCACGGGCAGTGAGTTGCTCAGGAAGCAGTACCCCGCAGAGCTTCCTGTGAGCAAACTACCATCATGCTGACCACCGGCGCCTCTGGCCACATACAACTCCCAAACGCTGGGGACCTGGCTATGCTACTGAGGATCAGAAGGCTACATGTGCCCAGTGGACCATTCAGGGTGGCTCAGGCTTACTGAAGAGTCAGAACTTTTAGCTGTTGCCTTGAAGTATCCGCTTAGTTTGTTGTTGATTTGTTGAATGAGTTATTAGGGGCTGAGGAACATTTACATTTTAAATACATTTTTAAAAAGATTTATTTGTTAGCTAGGTGGTGATAGCACACGCCTTAAACCCATCACCTGGGAGGCAGAGGCAAGCAGATCTCTGTGAGTTCGAGGCCAGCCTGGTCTACAAAGCGAGTTCTAGGACAGCCCTTTAAAGCTACAAAGAGAAACTGTGTCTCAAGAAACCATTTGTATGAATGTTTTGCCTGAATGTTTGTATGTGCACCATGTATCTGCCTGGTGCCCTTGGAGGCCAGAAGAGGGCTCTGGTTCCCCTGGAACTGGAGTTATGGATGGATCTGAATCACCATGTAGGTGCTGGGAACCTGTGTTCTCTCCAGGAAGAAGGCAAACAAAGAAATGAACTTGACACCAGCTAGAGACAAACTCTGTACAGCTTCAGTAGAGACCACAGAAGCTGGGAAGAAGACTTGCTCACTGAATGACATGAAGAGATCAACCAATGCAGGAAGATCTGGAGAAATTCTCTAGTAAAGTGCAGAGGAAGGAATGCAATTCTTAGATAGGAGACTAAGAAACCATTCAAGTATGAGGAGAGCAGAGGGAAGGAAGAAGAGAGGGAGGCGTGTGGCAGGTGACATTCTGGATAACAAGGCAGGAGGGTGTATTTTACTGAGGGCAGCGGAAAGTCCAAAAGGGAATGAATAAGAAAAGTGATGTGACCCAGCATAATGGTGAGCCAACTCCACTCCTAGGAGTTTCACAGAGACACATTTAGGAAGCAAGGATAAAGACAGAGACCAACCAGTAGTATATTACAGTCTCCAAAAGAGACTAGGGTGGCTTGGATTAGGGTAAGAATTCTATGCCAGTGAACAAAAACCATGACTAATTCCATACACAGTTTGGTAGAGTTGGTGAGATTTCCTAAGGCCTAAGAAGTGGGGAAATTCGATAAACCATCTCCTAGTCATCCACTGGGCCTGGAAAGGTTTATAAAGAGTGACCAGCCATTCTTTATAACCATCATTTCTGACCACATTAAACTCACTCTTTAGAGAAATAGCTGATTGTAGGCTTGGAACAATCTGGAACACTTAGACACATCAGAGAGCCCAGGAGCTCTGGCAGTACCACAGATGACCGAGGAGGCAGTATCAAAAGAATTTAATACAAATCTGAAGAGGGTCCCGCTGGTCAGAACTGAGAGAACCGGGCATCACTAAAACTCTTAACTACCACGGCTTGAGACTTCCCAACTACAGTAAATCCATGAGTTTGAAAAGATTAATGATCGAAAAAAAGAGTTCAATGGCCATTTGGAAGATGCCAATAAACTAATGCATTACTTTGAAAACTGGTTTAAAGAAAAAGAGAGAGAGAGACACTAGGGAGGCTGAGACAGGAGGATTGCGGTATGCCATGAGTTTAAGGTTATGCCTATACTACAGAGTAAGATCCTGTCTCAAAAACAATTACAAACAAGCAAAACCCAAAATAACAACAACAACAACAACAAAAAAAAAACCCAGAGGGAAACAGGGGTGGGGACCAATTTGCCCTTCCACCATTTTCCGTAAGCTATGTCAAAGTACAAATGGCAGCAACACGAGGCCGTTTGCTTTTACAGTTTCTAATTTGTAAGTGAACAGCACCAGAAGCAGACGTGAAGGAACAATAGGAAAGGAACTGGTTAGTGAGGGGGCGTTTCAGAACTAGAGCTATTAATAAGCCGAGAGTGAAAGAGCTAGGTCATCTACTAAACCAAGGAAGGGCAACAGAAGCGCACAGCATTACTGTTCTAGTGCCTCAGCCACATGGGTTCCACCGAGTCCCCAGAGACAGTGGCCCAAGCTGCTCCCGATGAAAGCGCACACGCCGCCACGTCTTCCTCCCTTTACCTAGGTCAGGCCTCGTTTTCAGGAAATACAGGGGCAAGCAGTATGCCGGGGACACAGACAACAAAGATCACACTGAGCAGCAGCACATGGACACAGAGCAAGATCAGAGTGTGTGTGTGTGTGTGTGTGTGTGTGTGTGTGTGTGTGTGTGTGTGTGTAGATATAGGTACATGTGGAGGCTGAAAGACACTCTCTCTCTGAAACAGGCTCTCCATAGCCTAGAACTCACCACAACAGGTAGGCTGGCTGGTCAATGAACCCTACAGACCTGCTTGTCAGCAACTTCCCAGTGGTGTGATTACAAGAATACGTTATCACATCTCGCTTTAAAAAACAACAACAGCGAAAACCCATGGGTTTTAAGGATTGAATTCAAATCTCCAAGTCACTGTAAATATTTACTGATTGAGCAATTTACCCAGCCCCTCTACAAGAAAACTACAAGGAAAACACTTGAGCTGCACCAACCAAATGAGATGTGTGAAGCTTGCCGTGCCCCTAGTTGGAGCCCAGCTGTCATCAGCACCAGCTATTGGGCAAAGCACAGACATTGGCAAAGCCTACATGACAATCTCAAGGAACGCTTGTTAAGTTGTAAAAATTTGATAATAATATTACGGTATGTTGCCCAAAGGTAGAAATGCACATGGAAATATTTGCCAATGAAATGATACAGTAAGCTTTGCTCCTGAATAATACAACAGAGAAAAGGACAGAGACAGAAACAGGACCAGAATCACAGCTGGTGAGTCCTAAGCAGTTCATACGTTCCTTCATTTTCATATATACTTCAAAGTATGCAGAGCAGCCAGGCAGTAGTGGTGCACACATTTAATCCCAGCACTCGAGAGGCAGGGGTAAGCCAGTGTGGTCTATAGAGCTAGTTCTAGGACAACTAGAGCTACAGAGAAACCTGTCTTGAAAACCAAAGTTTGCATAATAAAGCAAAGCAAAAAGTCTGCAGATCACATTTAATTCTGGAGGAATTTTTCCTCAAGATTCTGAATGAAAATTTAGAATTTTTTAATAGAAGCTAAAATCTTAAAAATGCCCGTTACCTGGTCACAGCAAACACTTTGTATAGGATGCTAGAGCCTTCAGGTGGAGCTGGCAACTGGTACTTGCAAAACAGAGTATCACACTCCCAGGCAAAGATGGAGTTGTCTTTAAAACAGCTGAGGATCGTGTTACTGAATGGGAGAAAGAAAACCTAGAGACAGAGAAGAACACCTTTCACCTTGGGTCTACACAGTCCTCTGAAATTTAAAACTATACACAGTCATTTTCTCTCTCCTTATACTGGAGAAAATACATTTTAATATATCATAGCATAATACCAGTAATCATAAGCTATAATTAACAAAAATAAATGACATACCCTTTCAGCTAAAACATTGACTACAATGATGAAATACACAAAATTCTAAATAACAATTTAAAATTTGTCAGCTTATATTTAAAAATTCTGATGAAAATTAGATGCCTCTGAATCAAATGTTTTACAACCAGTAAACCTATTTATATACATACACAAATTACACATGTATTTAGGACGATACGGTCGCCTGCCTATTGTCCCACAGATGTGCCGAAGATGAAGTTTACGTTACCTAGCAGCATGTTATAAAGCTGTAGCATAATTCTCTACTCAAATGTCTGTGACGATGGCGGGGTCACAGACCTGCAGTGCCGGTTGTATTCAATGGGAAGCATGATGTCAGGACCTAACATGATAATAATAAGTGATGCTTCCAGTTCCCACATCCACACTGCCTTACTCACTCCTTCAGATCATAATCCTCCCACGTTTTTAAGTGTGCTGTTTCACGCTGGCAACAGCTTTAGATATCTCATGCTCACATGTGTCATGACTACATCAAGAGTCCTCACAGAGTGACCGACCTGCACCACCTAGACTGTGTAAGTATGGTCCCATGTTCACACAACAAAACTGTTCAACATGCATCTCTCAAAACAACCACATCGTTCAGGGATTATGATCCTATATTCAGACGAATACTATTAAAAACATTAACCACGCTAAAGAACACTGCACATTAGTGGAAGCCTAGGGCGAGGCTCTGTCACAGTCTGCTGCTAGACAAGATAATGCAACACGCCTCGAAAGCCTCAGAAGCATCCTCCTGGACCAGCCAACTAATTTATAAGTCCTCTGGGAATAACTGAAAAAGTGAAGATAAATGTAAATATTGTGTATACAAGTACAATGAAAGTATATATACAACCACATTTTATTAGAGATGGAATTTACTTACTGGGCAACTGAGGGTGGATTCCACTGATAGCAGAGCTGAAAATGGCGTCTTTTATCTATTTCCCACTGTTCTGTTACATAAGCTTTAACCAGTCTCTTTTTGAATACAAAAGTTTTGCTAGGGCTAGGGGTGTGGGTGTGGCTCAACAGCAGAGTGATTGTCTAACAGGCCGGAGGCCCCTGATTCCATCCCTAGCACCCCGAAACAAAAAGCCAAACACTGAAACTGATCACTAACAGCCTCAATATAACTCTCTGAATTTATCTGCATAAAACGCATATATGCGTGTGTGCACCACACATATACATGCATATGGAGTAAAGCACTATGAAACGTAACAGTCAAGGTCACTGTCAATAAGACACACAAAAGCCTAACTAAAGTACATCAGATGCCGACAGAGCCCGATGGGAAGGGCCAGATCCTCACTTGTGCTCAGCTCACACTGCCACAGGCCATCCCTGGACCTTCTGATACAGACTCACTATGTGAGAAGATTTATAACACAGTCTTAGAGAATCTGCAGTGAATACATTACAATCCATAATGAACACATTAAGACACTTTCAAAACCGGTGTCAAAAAGTGACTTCAGAAAATTCGTATTTTAATTAGCAGTCTTTTTTTTTTTTTTTTTTTTTTGTAGAAAAGTAATAAAGTTTATTCCTACTGGGAGAAGCAAAGACTTAAAAGCTAATGAGCATCAACTGCTATTTTAGGTGAATAGCTGTGATAAGATTATTGCCAGCATGATTATTCATTACCAGATTTGTGATTTTAATTGCTAGATTTTAATGATTATAAAATTGTTCCTAATGAAACATGTCATTATTATTTAGATAATGTCATCTCCTGACAACATTAAGTGCTTAGAAAAAACTTCAAAAACTTAACGAAATGCACAGGAGGGGACAGCTGAGCTCCAGGGGCTGGACTGGCTTCCTCGTGGAATATGAAAACTCCAGCCTTCTGTGTTCGCCATCTTCTGTTGCCATGACAAAAGACTGTTGGCTAGGTAATTTGTAAGGAAACAAATGCAGTTAGCTCACAGTTCTGGAGGCTGAGAGCGCACGCTGCTCCTGCTGGGCTCTGGCGAGTCTCTGGCTGCATCCACACAGCATCACAGGGGCAGTGTCTGCAGACGGAGCCATCGTGGAGACACACAGGAAGCCAGAGGCTTTCTCTCAAATTCTGTCATCTTCCTTTCTGCCTTCCCTTCTTTCTCCCGGGGTTCCTAAGAACACTGAATCCTCTCAGGTGATGGTTCCCAACCTTCCTGATGCTGCGGTCCTTTAATACAGTTCCTCATGTTGTGGTGACCCCCAACCATAAAATTATTTTCATTGCTACTTCATAATCATAATTTTGCTACTGTTATGAATCATAATGTAAATATCTGGTATGCAGTGTATCTGATATGTGAAAGGGTCATTCAACTCCCGAAGTGGTCGTGGCCCACAGGCCAAGATCCACCACTCTAAGGGTAGACTATCTTAAAAGTTCTGCTGGGCACCCACACGACCACATCTGGACACATTTCTAGCACACATCTTTGGGAGACAAGCACACCCAATCCAGCATTTGCTGGTCAGTTTGAGGAGGTGTATGATGGCTTATCAAAAATTAAGAAATTCCGGCCTTCTCTGTGGTATAAGTCTTGCCTACCATGTGCAACACTCTGTGTTTGATCCCTAGCACCGAGAAACTAAAAGACAGACCCAAAGCCAAAGATGGCAGTACATTCCCGTAATCCCAGCATGCCAAGGCTGAGGCAGGATAGCAGTTGAGAACAGCCTAGGCTAAATAGTGAGACCTTATTTCAAAACCAAAACCCAAACCAGAACAACACAACAATTCAGGACAGTAATAGTAACAAAATGGAAGCCAGGCTAATATTTTACAAAAATATTAAGGAGTGTTCCCTGTGTAGAGACTGACGTACAAGAACCTTCGTTATGAACCATTTTCTGACAGATGTCATAAAGGGTTTTCCCATATATGCTGAACAAAAGTAATCGTGGATACAAGGATATATTTCCAGCTCCTAACTGAAGAACTGAATGAAACTCAGCATCACAAGAACCCTGAGTTACTAATCTGAAGAGGTGTAACTAGTTTGCATCTGTAATTTAAGCAGAACCTTCATTGACATTGATGATACAGACTCTCAAAGAAACTTTGGACCTTTCACTATGCCGTAAGTGTCGTAATGGCCCCTTTAATCTAAAAGCGTGTCCCACTATGTGTTTCCGTGACAGGTTCCAACTAAATCATAGTACAGTACCATGGACTGCTTTGCGGTAGTCGGGTAGTCCGAGCACAACCATTTTATAAGCTACGTGGCACTGGACGAGTTACTTAATGACCCTGAATTTCAGTTCTTCCTTTTGGAGAGCAGCATGCTGTTTAGGATTATTTAAGATGAAAAATAGCTAATAAGCCGGTCCTGGCGGAGCTTGCTTGCATAACCTCAGCACTCGGGAGCCTAGGGCAAGAAGGTCAAGAGCTGGAGGCCAGCTGGACCCCACTTCCAGCTCTAGACCAGCCTCAGCTGCACAGCCAGATTCTGTTGTAGAAAGGAAGGAAGGAGGGAAGGGAGAGTTAGCTGCATGCTAGGCATTCAGCAACTGGCATCGCTTACTACCCGTTTCTGTCTTTGGTTTAAGATGAGGTCCTCACTAAGCTGCCTGGGCTGGCTCTGAATTCAAAATTCCCCAGAGGACTGGTTCTATGGGAAAAGGCACTTGCCACCAAGCCTGATGACCTGAGTTCGATTCCCAGGACTCATGTGGTGGAAGAAAAAACTGACTCCTGAAAATTTTTCTCTGACCTCCACATGTACGTCATGAAGGCTTGTGCATGTGCATGCACATGCAATAAATACATGGATACAAAAATCTATTTTAAAAATACTGCGTTATATTTAAAAAGTCATCCTGCCTCAGCCTCTGGAGCATTTGAGATGAGGGTGGCTTTTAATTGCTGCTATACTACATACAAAATGCAGTGGAAAGAAGTTTGGGGTGGCAGTCCTTCAAAAGCACCTCAAGAGGCTGGCCGGAGGCACAGCTCCTCCCTCAGCAGGGCACTGGCCTAACACATGGCCCTAGGTTCACCCCCACCCCACCCCACCCCACCCCAGGAAAGAGCCCACAACACCAAGAACAACAAAGAACGCTGGACTCAAAGATCCACGGTCACTTTTCTGGACGTCTTAGGAGCACAGATGTTTCAGACTTAGAGTTACTACCACCTTGAGTAAGACGATACCTACCACAACAGGATGTGGTCTGGCCAGCAGCGCATCCTCAGATACATTTGTGCTCTGGGCTGTGCCAGTTCAGTTCAGGCTGCCAATTAGCTAAGGTCAGATCATCTTTTGATATAAACTGAATTGAACACCTCTAATTTTCAAAATTATTAGTAAAGAATTGTGCACTTACAACTCAAAAGAAAAATACATTACTATCTAGATTTTAAAGAATACATCTAGAGCTGGGCGGTGGTGGTGTACACCTTTAATCCCAGCACTTGGGAGGCAGAGCCAGGAGGATCTCTGTGAGTTCAAGGCCAGCTTGGTCTACAGAGAGAGATCTAAGACAGGCACAAAAACTACAGAGAAACCCTGTCTCGAAACCACCCCCCCCCAAAAAAAAAACATCTAGAGAGAAGCTCGGGGTGCAGCCCAGTTGGCAGAGAGCTTACCTACCATGCATGAAGCCCTGGATTCGAGCTCTAACACTGAATAAAGTGTACATGGTGGCATCCCTGTGATCCTTGCACACTGGAGGCAGAGGCAGGAAAATCAAGTTCAAGGCCATCATTAGCTATAGTGAGTTCAAGGCCAGCCTGGGCTAGGTTAACTTGCCCCAAACACATACATACATACATACATACATACATACATACATACATACATACATACATACATACCAGTTTTACTAAGCACAGTGTAAAGTACTGCATATATTATCACCTTAAACACTGAAGTCAAGTCTGAGGTAGGCACAGCTACTATTCTGAACTTACACTGGCTAAAATACCACGTGGAAAAGATTACCAGGAATCTACCCAAGCCTTGAGACTAAGTTCCTGCTTTTAAGAAATATCAGGGGGCTGGAGAGATGGCTCAGGGGTTAAGAGCGCTGACTCTTCTTCCAGAGGACCCGAGTTCAATTCCCAGCACCCACGTGGCAGCTCACACCTGTCTGTAACTCCATTTTCAGGGGACCCTGACACCCATGGCAAAAACACAAATGCACATAAAAATAAAATATAAAAAAAGCAAGAAATGCAAGATCA